GGATCGAATATAATGATTCGACCTAGTATATTTTATGCACGTGATGCAATACGAGTTGTGTTTGATCTTTGGTCGACTTCAAGAAAACCAGCTTTAGAAAGTTCGCTGTAGCCAACATGAGTTCTTGGACCAGAACAGTTGATAAATCTCACCATTTTGTTCTGTATAATCTTCAACTTCTTTTGATCTGACTTGTTTATGTTACTATACCATGCAGGGTTACAATAGTCAAATAAACATTGAACAAGAGCAAAACAGAGTGTACGTCTTGCTTTTAAATCCATACAACTTTGATACATGTAAAAATTTCAGACAAGAATTTGCTTTTTTTACAACTGATTCTACTAAAGATGAAAATGAAATTGCGCTAGCCAACTCAATGCCTAAATACGTCACAGACTCTTTTCTCTTGATTACTTGATTATTGTGTGTCACTTTGAATTCAAATGACTTTTTAGAACTACTTTTAGAACAAAACAAAATGCTTTCTGTTTTTCCCAAGTGTAAAGAAATCTTATTATCAGTCATCCAATCGACACACGTAGACAGCTGTTCACTGAGCTTTTCCTCAATATATTTAGGATCAGGATTTGAATAGAGTAGTACGCTGTCATCTGCGTACAATAATAGTTTAAAGTCTTTTATACAAATACACATATCATTTATATAACTTGAAAATAGAATTGGGCCTAAAATGCTTCCATGAGGAACACCGCATGTTATAGGCATTAGTTTGGAACGAATATCATGAATGGGCACTACTTGGTGTCGATTAGATAAGTAGGATCTGAACCAATCTAAACATGCCTTATTAAAACCCATTAGTTGTAACTTCTTCAATAAGACGCAATGATATATAGATATATCAAGGGCGTATCTACGAGGGGGTTTAGAGGGATTAACCCCCCCCCCCCCTTGGGCCTCGCCGCTACGCAGCTCTTGGACGAATAGATGCCAGGAAAACATCACTATACGGGGGTTCAGAATAGCAACAAAAATCGCCTCGCTGCTCGTGGACGATGCTCCGCATCATCATTGGGTCAAACTCCCCCCTTGGCAAAAAGCTAGATCCGCCCATGTGTATACGTGTATATATATCTCCGCACCCCCGGTGAAAAAATCGTTCTCATGCAGGGCCCTGCATGGGCCCTGCCATTTTCTTGATTGTTTGACGTACTACTATGTGCAGTCGTTTATCAACTAAATGTAGTCAAATTAACGGATGCTTCCTTCCCAGGTGTTTGTGGTGTTTAAGCATTTCAATCACCTTTGTACTCCAAATGCCAGAACGCAAATCGTATCAAGATATATTACACAGTGAATGAATTTTTAATATAAATCAGTGAACACATATATACAAATTAATAACATTCATAAAATTCGCTTAACAGCTAACAGTTGCTTAATTCTATTCCACAATCATCATAGGGCTAGAGGGAAATATAAAAGATAGGTAATATATGGGAGGATAATAGTGCAGACAGTACAGGAGATCCAGGAAAAGTGTGAGATAGAGAAAGACAGGGAGAGAAAGGGAGAGAGAAAGGGAGAGACAAAGAGAGACAAAGCGGGAGATAGAGAGACAAAGCGGGAGATAGAGAGAGATATATATATATATATATATATATATATATATATATAAGATAATGCTGAGGATCGATGAGAGTGTATATCAGACATATCGAAAATAAAGTAAAAAGTACAATTTCGACAGAGAATACTGGTTGTAAAAATTAATAAATTACATTTTACATTTTCATTGGTGAGTTATGGATAACATATATTGTAAATTGATAGGTATGTATGCAATCAGATGAAAGACATGAAATGTGGCAATAGACCGGCTTAATAACATATTCAAATGTATGGATGTTTCTTTCCTGGGTGACGATTTATTCTATTAACCTGTTATTAATGAATGAACATTACTGTAATATTCTGAATCCAGTCTGCATACATAACTTGTTGCTATGTCTCGGGCAAGCTTTTGGGTTGTCAAGATCAACCTTAGTTTGAAAGTATGCATAAAATCTGAATATGTTAGTAAGCCGGTCTATTCAGTTAAAAACAAACCACTTTTAAGATTCTCTTTAAAAAGGACATCTTAGACCTCGGACTAAATCACTTTCTTAAACCCTTTTTCAGCAAAAGCTTAAGCCCGACGTCAGGTTTAAATTTTAGTAGAATTTGGATCTATATATTATGTTTGTCCTCCCAGGCAATACTAATTACTGTATATGCAATTTATATTCTGACTAATGAAATACAATAATATTGTTCGTCACAGGCGAATGAAATCAATCATGGCGACCTTAACAAGGCACTTCGCAATGAAGTAGACTTATGCATGACATTTAATTACATTAACAAGCTGGCACATTGATCGTGAAGACTAGACAGCTTGTCCTGGTTGGATCAACGAAACAAAGAAATGTATCTGATCTACAGTTTTACTTCAAAATAGCTCCTAAAACAGACGAGAGCAGAACTTGTTAGCTGTTGTGGAAGAAGCATCAACAAATAGGTCACTTTTTGCAATGTAATCAAAATTGAATGCAAACGTTCATGTGAGGTGCCCGATGAATCATTTCATTCACTTGTTATTGTATTACACATTTCCAATAGTCAGAATTCGAACTGCATACATTAGTGGTTGCTTGCCCTATCAAACAACACATAATATATGCAATTTGCATTTTGACTTTTGAAATACAATTATTCATAAAATGTGAATGAAATAATTCGTACCGAGGCACTAAAATATGAATTTGGTTACATTACGAAAGTGGCCTACTAAAGTAAACTAGTATATTATATGGTTCATGGATTTGCAAGCTATCATGTGCAGGGGCGTCGCTAGACCTTTTTTAGTGGGGGGAGGGGGGGGGGGGGTGTAGAGGACACCGTTTACCAACAAAACTAGCCACCAATTACTGACACAATTAAAAGTCCCAATATCTACTAATTTAACCCTATAAACCCGGGGCCGAAGGCAAAATTGTTTTTTCCTATGAACTATCTATAGTACTTGCGTGTGCGCAAATGGTCATTTTCCTCAACGACATAAATATACAAATTATTTTGTCATAATTTTTTCAAATAAGAAAACCCTCTCAAAACAAGCACCCAAGATTTAGAACATTGCTGAACAGATTTAAAGTCAAAGTCAGGGAGAAAATGGGACACTACAAAGAACAGCGTCTATTGAAACGCTGTAAAATTATCATTTTCATTTGATTAAAAAAAATATCATATTTAGTCTGACGCTCAAAATTACGCAGAAGGTTTAAGATACCCTCATTAGGAAATACCAACATCCTGAATCTCACATTTTGAACAAAATTAGACCATTTTAGCTAGGTCACATAACTAAGTCATCCGATGGTAAAGAGGAAACTTACTAAAGATGACATTTTAACCAGGCAAGTGGGAATTTTACTACTCTTACTTACAAAGTAATTATAGCAAATATATATTTTCTTGAACACAAGTTAGTTTCACCACACAATGAAAGCCTAAGTGAATACATTTTAGCAACATTTTTGGCATCGGCAAGTGAACGGATGAGTAAATAACTCAATATTTTCACATTTAATAGAAGAAAAAAAAATGTAACATGAAAACAATCTTCTTCAGTCTTCCATCAGCTTTTGTTTGAAGAGCACAATAAACAACGTCATTTAAAACTGGTGAAACTGGTAGATATATGTGAACCGGCAATATTGAACAGCTTAACAATAAAGTTAAGTTCTGGTCATGCGATTGCATTGTGAAAGAAACGTTTTTGGAATCGATCAGGACAGGTTGATCATCTAGCATATAAAAGTATTGGTGTGTACTGCAAGGTTCTGGAATCATCAAAATGATAAGAAATTTGGCCCAGTCTTGGTAAAGTTACAAGCACTGTACACAGAAAGATGTAAATATGGGACTACATGAACATGTTGCGTAAAAATTGAACCTCAATTTCTATTGTTACATTACATGCCATGTTTAGAATATTAAGGCATTTGAAGATCCATGCTTTTCAGGGAACATTTTCATCTGATGTTCTTCCACACTTGCATAATACAATGATAAAGCTCACAAATTATTTTCACCTCTTCCCAGAACTCAACCTTCTCTCTGAACATGAATACCTAAATAGATGGAAAGTCTCAAACGCTGGCATATTTTAGGGCATATATAGATGTATTTATTTGTTGTGTAAACCAAATTATTATAATGTAAATCTAATCTGAATGAAAGATATTCCTAACACGAAAACAAGCATTTTTATATTTTTGCTGATAAATACTGGTGCAACTGGCAGATAAATGTGAACCATTATTGAACAGCTAACAGATGACTATAAAGTGCTACATTATACCAGTAGCAAGGCTATCTGGCAAGTTTTAATGAGATGTCATGACAAAAATAAATAGTCTAATAAAGAATTCTTAAAAAAATTTTGTTGATGAATTATATGTGTGAAGGCATAGGTATAATTTTACTATACCGGTACTTAAAGAAGCTCACATAAAAAATATAAAAAAGTAAATAAATAAAAATATCAAAAAAATTCAACCCCAAAAACCATGGCGTCCAAGTATTCGACTGTAATTAAGCCTGGGAGTGTACTCGAGTACCTCATTACACGGTTATGCACAGCCTTACTTTAATAAGTGTTAAAGTACAAGTCCACTCCACTGAAAAGTTGAGTCGATTAGATAGTCATAAATCTATACAGCCCCCAAATAACTTGGTTTTGGAAAATGGTGCTCAGACTTATTTTTAATAATTTTGTTTAAAGGCCATCTGTACTAGTTTGGCCAGAGGGTATTAGACCACTCAGCGAGGTCAATGACAGGTGGCTCACACTATGAACATGACGGACAAAGAAAGCGGACAAAATATACAGTTCCTCAGGTTGACAAACAATTTTTACATAATAGCAGTGAAGGGATGTTCCTTTGTCTACCTGAGGAACTGTATATTTTGTCTGCTTACTTTGTCAGTCATGTTCATAGTGACATCAACTCAGCTCTCAAATAACATAAGAAATATAGGACCATGGGGAACCAACAGGCACCGATTGGGGAAGTTTTCTATATAGAAGGAGCATGTAGCTGCAAGTAGTGCAGTAAGGCTTTAATGAGCAAAAAACAAGTGAATGATCGAGCTGGTTCTCCTCACAATGCATTACGCGACATTTTTTGTGACGTAGGCTGCTCACAACACAGACAGAGGCGTATACGTCACAACTGTGCGGCAAATTTAAAAGTTTTGCTTGAAAAAGATTACTTTCTCAGATTCCTTCCGACCGAACAAAGGTGACAGGGTCGATTGTGGCAGGGCGAGGCAACATGGATGTACTTGCTGGTCGACATAACTGGCATAATTTTGAAAGGCTTTCCTCTATAGGGATCCCATACAGATGAATTCTCACACTCTCACCCATGTCTTGCATAATTTCCTTGAAGTGTGTTGGACAGTTTAGTCTTACAAATCAAGACTGCATGTTCACTAGAACAGTCCACGTTGATGACTTTCCCGCAGCCGAATATACCCTGAAAAATAAATAAAAAATTAGCACATTGTAGAATTGTATTATGCTCTCAAATCAAATCTAGCGAAAATTATGAGTTGAACGTAGCATACATGTACACGCTACAAATGTACTTGCATCATTTGCAAATTCATGACATGAGATGCCCGAATGACTATATACATGTATTAGTTATGACTGATGAGCCGCCCCCCCCCCTCCACTCAGTATTATTTAGGGTACGCGTCTTCTGGCCATATATAAATGACTTCCCTGATGCATACAATTACTATACAAATTATACGTTCTGTATTATAATTGTGTCTTAGTTTGTAATGTCCTGTATACGTCTTGCATTTTATCTCGTTACTCCAAGTTACAGGATTCTGTGAGATACGAGCTGCACGTGCGCCAATCAGTGTGCCTAGTCCGTGTGTTGGCTGACCACGGGCAGCCATTTTTTATCAGTTAAAATTTCATATTCTTTGAAATTTCACGCTCTACAGGAGATACGTGTAACTGTATTCAAATTAATATTAATAACACCAGCTTCTGAGCCGGTTATTATAGTTTGATAGTTGTGTTAGTGCCTGTTATGGCTGATTTTGTTAGTGATGAGGGCCAAGGAGAAGGCGCCTCAAATCAGGCAGCGAGCGGTGAGTTGTTCTCACCGGAGGCCATCCGGCCGCACGGCGGTACGGGCTTCAATCGCTGAAAGCAGGATAGTGAATGCTCCGAATATCAGCACGGCTGGTAATGGGAGTGTTATTCGCTGGCACGGCTAGCAATGTTCAGAAGCGAGACGGTTTTGTTATACCCAAATTAACAAATACTAGTAGGTCGGGCGAGAGTGCCAGAGATAAGGTTATTGAATCTCACTCTCAGTCTCAGAAGACAATCCGATTGACAGAAGGCTGTTTCGATTTGTAAAACGAAACATGGAAATGCAAAGCCAAATGACACGAAAGAGGTAAATAAGTCAAATGAACAGAGATTCCAAAATCTGGAACAAGCACTTGAGAAACAGAATTTAATGTTGATCAATGTGAGAAAATGTCCAGTGATAGAACAGTTGGGAGACATAACGCTGTAAAGGTTAGATCTGGAGATGCCCAAGTGGTACAACAACAAGCATATAATGAGTATATGGAGGAATTGACCCTCGATGATGGGAGCTTTGAACCCGATTATGAATACCCTTACGGACATGAGGATGATGGAAATAGTTTTTCCCTTCCGTGTGCCCAAGACCAAGTTGAGAAAATTGACCATGTAGTAGAAGTAGAAACAGACTTGGCCACAGGGCATGCAGGGGATACTGTTAGCCCTATATTGGCTAAGGGCTTTGCAGGCCGTTTTCAGACACAAGCCCCTTTGGGGCCAGATGCAAATGACGAGCTGGTAGACAGCCTAAACATCATGCTATCAGAACGGCTAGGCATGGAAAACATGACTACTCGCATGGACAAGTATGTTCCACTGAACAACATCCCCAAACTGGTAGTACCCAAGGTGAACCCTTTGATTTGGGATAATATCCCTCCGAAAACAAAATCAAGAGACTTGAGACTGCAAAAACTCCAAAAGCCTCTAATTAAAGGTCTAATAGCAGTTACGAACCATATGAAAGAAAAGTATTCCCCAGAACAGGAAGAGGCCTTGCCATTACTGGCACATGCGAATTATGAGGTGAACATGCTCAGAAGGGAGAGTATAAGGCCTGAACTGAATCCGAGATATCAACCATTGTGTCACCCTGAAGTAACACAGCAACTTTTTGGTGAGGATCTTGGTAAGGTTGTCAAAGACATGATGGAACAACAGAAGGCAGTGTCTGTTACCAAAATGGGGACCCTGAAATTCAAGGAGCAGCGATATAGCCCATATTCAGGCAGCTTCATCAGGCCAACCTATCCCGGGAGAGAGAGGCCGGGGAAATCAAAACTCTCCTTCAGGGCCCTCTTTTATAGGCAGAGGAAGAGGATGGTACATGAGAGGTTCCAAGGCACCAGCCACCCAGTCCAGGCCCCTGCACTAGAATCCAAACTGATTAAGACAGATGATGAGGTGAGGAATGATTGTTCACTGAGTAGCACTCTGAATTGTAACCTTTTCCAAGGAGGCCAAATAAATTTGGTTGAGCCAATGGGAAAAACTAACTTCTGATAGAAATATCTTGAACATTGTCAGGGGATACAAATTGGAATTCATTGGGGCACCACCCCTACAGAAATACATACCCCACCCTTACAAGCTCGGGCCTACTGAAATGATGGCTGTAGATACAGAGATACAAAACCTTTTGGACAAAGAGGTAATTGAAAGATGTGACCACATGGCGAGTTTATTTCCAATATTTTCACAAGGGAGAAAAAAGACGGAAGATTGAGAATGATTCTCAACTTGTCAGAATTGAATAATCACTTGGATTTCCACCACTTCAAAATGGACACGTTTGAAACTGTGGTCCAATTGTTAACCAAAGAATGTTTCATGGCATCACTTGACTTAAAGGATGCATACTACTCTATCCCAATAGATCTCAGGTGCAGAAAATTCTTGCATTTCCTGTGGAAAGGAAATTTGTTTCAATACAGAGCGCTACCTAACAGGCTTTCACCAGGGCCTAGGATTTTCACGAAAGTGCTTGAAGTGCCTTCAACCGTGCTCAGGAGCAGGGGGCATGTTATTATCTCCCTACATTGATGACATACTTATCATAGCAGAGTCTAAGGACCAAGTAGTGCATGCAGTGCATGACACAACAGAAATACTGACAAATTTGGGGTTTGTTATTCACCCTAAAAAATACAAATTTGAACTAAGCCAGCAACTCGTTTTCTTAGGTTTTGATATAAAGTCAGATACAATGACTGTCAAACCGACATTAAAGGAAAGTAGCTGAGATAAGAGAGTTTGCGGGCAAATTGCTCAGAAAAGGCAATTTACGGTAAGACAGCTGGCTTGTTTTATCGGGAAAGTTGTAGCAACTCTTCCTGCTTGTGAGCAAGGAAAATTGCACTACAGAGCACTTGAAAGAGACAAAATCTTGAACCTGAAAGCACATAAGGGCAATTATGATGCCAATTTGACACTCACAGACACAGCAAAGGAAGAATTACATTGGTGGGTGGAGAACATTTAGTCACCAATTAAACATTTGGGTAGAAGAAAACCAGATGTTGAGTTGAGCAGTGATGCTAGTGGTTCTGGCTGGGGGGGGGGGGGGGGGGTACGGATGGTAAAGCCCAATGTGGAGGGCGATGGAAACCTTCAGAGTCCCTCGCCAGTGGGAACAATATAAATTATCTAGAATTACTTGCAGCCTTCTTTACACTGAAGGCCTTCTGTAACGGCAAAAGTGGCATCCATGTTCTCATGAGGCTAGATAACACCACAGCAGTCAGCTACATTAATGCAATGGGTGGTATCAAATCTGTGGAATGTGATGAACTTGATCATGTATTATGGCAATGGTGTATAGAAAGGGATATATGGGCCACAGCAGCCCACTTGCCTGGTGTATAGAATGTCATTACAGACAAAAGGTCCAGAAACTTCAGGGATGAAACTGAATGGTGGATGTTAAACCCTAAAGTTTTGTAACTTGATGGGTAATCCAAAGATTGACCTCTTTGCATCTAGGTAAATACCCAGCTACAAGACTATGTATCATGGCAACCAGATCCAGGGGCACAAGTCATTAATGCATTCACCCTAGATTAGGGGGGGGGGGGACTTGAGTTTTATGCTTTTCCCCCGTTCTGTATCATTAATAAGTGTCTCCAGAAAGTTGTGGAGGATAAGGCAGAAGGGATATTGATCGTCCCAAAACGGGCGTCACAATCACTGTTCCCGAGGTTATTACAATTATCAATTGACGTGCCTACTGTTTTGCCGCAGAGTGACCATACATTAATCCAAACAGAAATTGGGAAAATTCACCCCCTATGCAACAAACTGTTCTTGCTTGCTGGCAGATCATGGAATCACTCCAGGCAAGAGGCATTCCGGAATCAGCTCGACCCATCATATTGGCGTCATGGAGGCAATACACCAGAAAACAGTACATCTCCTACATTAGGCGATGGATTCACTTTTGTCACAGACGGTCGACTGATCCATTGCAGACGCATGTCGGTAAGGTTTTAGATTTCTTAACAAACCTGATGGAGAGTGGAATTGGATATAGTGCTATAAACACAGCTAAATGTGCTATCGATAGCTATGCTCTTTTTCAAGGAGGGCAATCATTGAAGGACAACCAAATGGTGGCAAGGTTCATGAAGGGAGTTTTTAATCTCAAACCACCAAGACCTCGGTATTCCGACATTTGGGATGTTGGCAATTAAGGTGTTGGACTACATTCGCTCTATTCCGGGAGATGCTGACATTTCACTACAAGATTTAACTCTGAAACTCTGTATGCTCATACTTTTGTTATCAGCACAGCGCGTACAAATGATTCACCTCTTGAGAATAGACAACTTAGACTTGCAAGAAGACAGCGCAAGATTCACTTAACAGATTTGTTGAAGCAGAGTCGTCCGGGAAACTGTGGTGTAACGATCTGCTTGAAAGAGTACCTGTTTGACAAGCGATTGTGTGTAGTGCAGACTTTAAGGCTGTATTTGACAAAGACAGGATCGCTTCGGGAGAAGAGAAACAGCTTTTCATAAGTTACAAGAGACCTCACCGTGCAGTATCAAAAGACACGATAGCCCGTTGGGCAAAAGAGAGTTTGTCCCGTTCAGGAATTGACATTGCAAAATACAAGCCTCATTCTACAAGAGCAGCTTCAACGTCCGCAGCAGAAGCGAGACATGTGCCCATCTGTGATATTATGTTGATGGCCGGCTGGTCATCGGAGAACACCTTTCGCACTTACCGGTACTATAACAAGCCGCTTATAGAAAAACATGTTGACAATTTCCAAAGGGCTGTATTGGAAGCTTGACTTTGGGACGTACAGGTAGTCGTTGATTGACCAAAGATAAGAATCATGATGTCCGAATTAGGGCCAGTCTTTATGCAACTCATGCATGGTTAAGTGACATTTTTCCTATTATTCTGGCATGTTCTCAGATATATTGCTGTTAGGCCAAAGTGGATAAGCTTTTTTTTTTAACTCATCATTTTTCATGCATGCTTTTTGGTACGTTTACAGGAACGGGCTAGAATTTCTGAGAGCCCATCTTTGATACAGTTGACAATGACAAGTATTTTATATCATATTTCGTCGTTCGAAATACACGAGATCCCGCCAAGCGCATGCGCAGTTAATTCGCCGCGCAATTGATTTTTACCGGGAAAGTAATTTTCCCTCAGCAGTCAAAATACCTAATTTTTGGCATTTTTTCGGACCAGCGGTTTCGAAAAAATACTTCATTAGGGAGAGAAACTCTCCTTTTTACATGTTTTTGGAAGACTTTTGAGAATCTGTGCTGTTTTTATATAAAAAATCGAAGTTTTGTTCCGATTTCCACGTACACGATGGCGTCTCCGTCAGGCAGCACCAAGCAGAAAACCAGCGAAACGCTGAGCACGGCTAAAGCCGGAACTTCACCGGGCGAAACCGCCGCGGGCCCCTCTACGAAGCCTGAGCCAAAGCGCTCATCGGCAGTGAAATCCTCCGATACGAAACGCAAAAGTGTCTTGGCAAAGCCTGCCCCGAATGAGTCTAAGAACTCTGGGCCTAAAAAGAAGGGCAAAAAGCCTGAAGAAAAGGAGGACTTCACGGATTTACGAGGAAGACTTGACAAATTGGAATCCTTAATGGAGATAATGGTGGATTTTTTGCCTTGTCAATCTGCAACCCGCCCCACAGGGGATACACCACCGACAGCATGTACAGCTGCGACGAACGTGAGATTTCTTGAAGTTGAACATGATGATGATGATTTTGAGCATATTGACACTGGAAACATGGGCCAATGCCTTACGTCATATGACATTGGCAGCATGGATGAGGGTGATGTCAACGAAACTGTTGCACCAGGTTTAGACTAGGAGAATGAGGACAAAGTTCCTGCCCTGGCTCAGAAATTTGCTATCCCCACTGGGGTAGGTGGCGTGATCCACGATGATTTAGCAAAGTCTGCCATGTACCTCATGTCCCACCAGCTAGAGGAAAATGTGTTGGAGGAAGCTGGAGGGAAATACCCTCCTCCAAGCAATTGTACTCCACTGTGTTGCCCCAAAGTGAATGCAGCAATATGGGAAAACCTATCCTTGCACACGAGAAGCTGTGATTTGAAACTGCAAAGAATCCAAAAGCCTTTGACAAGGGGACTCACAGCTTTTATTCAAACTCTGTCCCCCGATAGCCTATCTGAGACACAACAGGATGCATTGGCATTGCTGTGTAACACAAACTTTGAAATCAACTGCTTACGCAAAGATCAGATTAAGCCAGACTTAAATGCCAAGTACTCACATCTATGCAAACCTGCCACACCAGTGAGTCAGCACCTATTTGGTGATGACTTAACAAAGAGAGTCAAAGATCTTACAGAACAACAAAAAGCTGCATCTGGCGTAGTGCGTGGACAACGTACACCCCGCCCCCAGTACCATCCCTACAGGACGCAAGCGTCCAGCACTTTTCAATACCGCAGACAAGGATGGAACCGTGCCACCGGCACATCACAAACTTTTCCAAGTAGCAGGCCCGCAAGTGGGAACTACAACAGGCCTTTTTTAGGCCAGCGAACCCAACGAGGCAGACCATACAGAGCTCCGCCTCACACCCAGACGATGAGCATGGGAAAACAGACCCAATCCTTCCAGCGGCCACAGGCAGCAAGGAGGAAATAGCTACACCATTACCCAAAGAGGTAAGTAGCACATATGAATATTTTGAGAATGTTAAGATTAATGCTCCTTCTACTTCATATACATTACAACAAGAATGCATCTCAAATGTGCCTGTTGGAGGTCGATTGATATATTTCTATCGTAGATGGCGTGAATTAACGTCAGATCTATTTCTGCTATCAGCAGTGCGAGGCTATGAGATCGAATTTGATTATTCGAAAGGGGTTCCCTCAAGAAATAAGCCCCTCTATGGTTACAAAAAGAGCCCTTTAGAAATAAATCAGATTACTAAAGAAATCTTGGCTCTACAAGCAAAAAACGTAATAGAACCTTGCTCATTTGAAGAGGGAGAATTCCTCTCAAACATCTTCACGAGACCCAAGAAAGATGGGGGTACTCGTATGATCTTAGATTTATCAGAGCTTAATCAAAGTCTGAACGTACAACACTTTAAGATGGATAACATCCACACTGCCAAGCACTTGATTTCTCCGCACTGTTATCTTGCATCAATCGACCTCCAAGATGCTTATTACTCCATTCCAGTAGACCCAAATAGTAGAAAATACTTCAGGTTCATGTGGCAGGGTGAGCGCTGGCAATTTGCAGCCTTACCTAATGGGCTCAGCACAGCCCCCAGACTGTTCACAAAATTGCTGAAGCCAGTCTTCGCCGAACTGCGACAAGCAGGTCATACAGTCATAGGATATTTGGACGACACCATAATTATTGGTGAGACAAAAGAAAAGCTTAAAGAGAGTGTGAGTGCAACAACCAAGATCCTCTCAGAATTAGGATTCCTCATTCACACTAAAAAATCAGTGCTTATCCCAACACGTGAACTAGCCTTTCTTGGCTTCATTCTTAACACTGAGAGTATGATTGTTAAATTGCCTCAAACAAAGGCACAAGAGGTGAAAGATTTATGCCGTGAAATTAATGGGCACGTACCTCCCATCAATACGAATGGTAGCACGAGTGATTGGGAAGGTCATAGTAACTTTCCCTGCGGTTGAGTATGGCCCCTTATACTATAGATCAATGGAAAGGGACAAAATTGTAGCCCTCAGACTAAACAGGGGTCATTTTGACAGAAAGATGAAGTTGTCCCTTGAGGCAAAAGAGGAGTTAAAGTGGTGGATGAACAATGTTTCTATGGCCTCCTCCCCAATTGTTAGGAAAAAACCTGACTTAGAATTGCACACAGATGCCAGTGGCCTTGGATGGGGAGCTACTGACCTCCAGAAGCAAACAGGGGGTCGTTGGAATGAATTTGAGGCAGAAAGGGCAAGAACCAATAAATTTCCTGGAAACCCTAGCCGCTGGGTTGGGGATAAAATCCTGTTGCATGAATAAGCGTAACGTTCATGTGATGGTAAGAATAGATAATACCACTGCAGTGGCCTATTTAAATCACATGGGAGGTTGCAAGTCCGCAATGTGTGACAAGATATCGAGAGAAATTTGGCAGTGGTGCATTTCTCAAAATATTTGGGTCTCCGCAGCCCATGTACCTGGTCGGCTCAATACTATAGCAGATGAAAGATCCAGGAAATTTAATGATCGAACAGAATGGAAACTAAACAGACAAGTGTTCGATAGAATAGTTTCCCATTTTGGTGTACCAGAAATAGACCTGTTCGCCTCAAGACTAAATGCTCAAGTAGAGAAATATGTCACTTGGCACCCAGACCCTGGGGCTTTTGCAGTTGACGCATTTACGCTAGATTGGAAACCTTTTGCATTCTATGCATTCCCACCGTTCTGTATGATCCCCAAATGCTTGCAAAAAATCAGAGAGGATAAGGCTAGAGGGTTACTTCTGGTCCCTAATTGGCCTACTCAGGCGTGGTTCCCTCAGTTGGTTAGCATGATGGAAGGAGAGCCATTGTTTATCCAGAGGCAAGAAGATTTGCTACTCCTTCCTGTGTTAAACACCACCCACCCTCTTAATGCTAATATTGACCTCTTACATGTATGTTGCAGGTTATGCGGCAACACTTTGAGAATCGGGGACTAAGCAGACGAACAGTGGATATCATTACAGCTTCATGGAGAGCATCAACCTGCAAGCAGTACCAAGTTTACATCACACAGTGGCGAAGATTTTGCCACAGCAGGAATACGAGTTACCTCCAAGCCGAGGTGGAAAGGGTACTAGAATTCCTTAGTAGTTTATTTCATGACAGGAACCTTAGCTACAGTGCGATCAATACAGCTTGTAGTGCTTTATCCACTTTTCTGATTCTCGTTGACAGTAATCAGACAATAAGTACTCACCCACTTATAACCAGACTGATGAGAGGTGTTTTTCAACTCAGACCTGTCTTACCTAGATATACAGAAATATGGAATATTAGTCCAGTCCTCAATTTTCTAAGAAAATTGTCTCCAGTAAACTCCTTAAACCTCAGAGATTTAACACTCAAAGTATGTATGCTAATGGCTCTTGTATCGGCACAGAGAGTGCAAACCTTGCATATATTGAAGACTAACAAGATGACCCTGAAAGGGGGCTTTGTGGTTTTTCATTTGGATGGACACTTGAAGCAAAGCAAACCAGGAAATACCAATTTTAAGTTTAAATTGGAAGCATATCCACCTGATAGAAGATTGTGTATTGTAAAATATGTGAAACATTATGTCCAGCGCACAGGACCACTTCGTGGGAATGAGAACTCGTTCTTTGTAAGTTACACCAGACCTCATAATAGAGTAACAACTCAAACCTTATCTCGCTGGATCAAGACCTGCTTGCTAAGAGCAGGTGTGGATACAAACGTTTATAAGGCTCATTCAACACGGGCAGCATCAACTTCAGCAGCTGCCAAGGCAGCACTTCCAATGGACCAGATCCTAGCCCGAGCAGGATGGTCTTCAGAGAAAACGTTCAGGAAGTTCTACAAGAAACCTTTTGAAAACAAGAGAAACTTTACCCAGGCAGTCTTACAAGATAGCACACTGCTTTAAGAACTGCATCAGAAGGCTTTTCAATAGAACTGGCATTAAGAGACCAGCTGTCTAATTAATAGAACTGGGATTAAGAAACCAGATGGCTAGAATAAACTAGACACAGAAACGAACAATGTTTTTGCAACATTATGACGTCTTATATATGGACGTCTTGTATGTGAAATGTTTTGCCACATGTATGAACAGACTACAATAACTGTCAAATATGGTGAGTCATTGATTAGAAGCATTCAATTCAATCTGCATAATCAGTGTTCACTTTTCCGTACATGTTGGTTGTTCCAAATGTGGCTACTATGCTTCAAAATCTCATGTAATTTCGAACGACGAAATATGATATAAAATAGTAAGATTAAACGAGAACTTACCGTTTGAAGTTTGATCTTTATTTTATGAATATTTAGGAGGAAGTTATTACATGCCCTCCTCACCCACCCAAACTTCAAACTTAAGTGTAAGTTCCCTGTTCCTTACTATTGAGAGTAGCCACATTTGTAGCTTTGAATATTGACTGCGCATGCGCTTGGCGGGATCTCATGTAATAACTTCCTCCTAAATATTCATAAAATCAAGATCAAACTACAAACGGTAAGTTCTCATTTAATCTTACTATTTTTTGTATATATCCCGGCCCCCCTACTCAATGTTATTTAGGGTACGCATATGCTTGTTCCCTCTTTTTGAAAGCACCCCCTATCTGAGGACTGCCAATATTTCTGAACCCCCCTTTCGCAGGCATTTCGCGGGATTTTCCTGCCTTGGAGACCCCCCTAAATCAGGAAAAATGCTCAATGTACCCCCCTAAATTCAGAATAATTTCTCAGGAGTCCAAAGAGATGAGAGAAAAAAAGAAAAAACACCCCCTTTTTAAAGAAATCTCTGGGTGAAAAGTCAAATACACTCCTTTTTTTACAATTCTCGGGCGGGACTTTGTCGCACGAAAAGTACCCCTTTACCGGACATTTTGGCAACACGCATGCGGTCATTTCGACCTCTGAGTGGGGGGGCCGGGGTTTATATACACTGGTGCAGTTTTCTAGATGAAATGTTCGTTTCCAGAAGAAAATGTGTTTTTTCTTCGTGACAAATGTCGATCTGTGCAGAAGTACATGTATATAATAAACCTGTTGACCTTTGATATCTTGTTTCATACGAGTGTATGTTTCTAGTGAATCCAGAGTGGCTTTCAATATCTCACAGAATCCAGTAACTTGGAGTTACGAGATAAAATGTATACGATAGATTAAACGAGAACTTACCTAAGTTTGAAGTTTGAGCTTCATTTTATGAAGTAATGGAGAGTCTAGGGATTATGTGCCCTACCCTCCCTCCCATTGCTTGGAGAAATAAATTTAGGTGTATTACAGAATAAGGTGAAGGACAAATATCTGTTTAATCATAAAGTTCTCACTCTGGCCTCACTATTTTTTCAAGACTGATTGGCCCACGCGCAACTCGTATCTCACATAATCCCTAGACTCTCAGTTACTTCATAAAATGAAGCTCAAACTTCAAACTTAGGTAAGTTCTCGTTTAATCTATACATTTTGTTTTATTGTGAATTTTAATGTTTTGTGTTTCCACGTTTGTCATTTATGTTATGGGTCCACCCACTTCCCTCAAGCCATCAGCTTTATCGGGTGCAAATGATCCAATACAGTCAGACCGCAGCGTGCGCGATAATAAGGCTGTACGCTGATTTTTATTCAGCGTCTCTTTGGTGATCCTTACATTCACCTGTTCTGAAATTCATGAGATTTTCCGTGAGATTTGTAAGGGGTTGCATGCAGCTGCTTTTGTGGTCGATAACTTCAGTCAACAGGGCAGCACGCAACAGTAATTACTCTCGAGATTTTCAGCTTCAGTTTGAAACTTGCCATATTTCACAATTTTGAAACAATCTTTTTTCACCACTTTAATTGTCATTATTTTTGTAACATTTCAACAGCTATTTGTACCTGGAATTTTGCTTTTAGTTCCTGACTCTGGTACATAATTAATTTGTTTACTTTGAGATTCGTTGAAAAGATGAAAAGTCACTGATCAAAATAATGTCAAAACCTAATTGATGCAAAATCAGGTTCTCTTTATAATCATAGTAATTAAGACCCTAAAAACACGGAAATTACCAATTTGTTCTTTCTATGATGGCGCGAAATTGTGTGATTTCATACCTGATTATTAAACTCCAGGGAGCTCCGCCACGCCACCGACTGGTTGAAAAAAATAAGAAAAATAATTAAAAAAGAAATATTGTAAATATTAATTAACTGGAAGGCAGGTGACGTATTTGATCCAGGGTCCTTAGATTGTTGCCATGACTGCTTGCGCGCACGTGCATTACCGGCGCACGCCACAAGACATGCCTACTAAAATCTGGTATTCAGAATGTTAATGAACCAAAGCGAAACATATGTAATGTAGTTGACGTATTTGACCAATCAGAACTCTCTATTATCACATCGGCAAAATTGACTACTTCTATTAATTATTCATAAACATTTGCGTGATTTTTCTTGGTTCCTGACTCTGGTACAGCATTAAATATAATAATTTTGATATCATTGAAAAGAAAAATATCTATGCTTTATGCTGATTATAACATCTTCGTGACGCAAGAATTATTTCTATGTGAAAATCAGCCCTACTCTTAAGATAGATTTGTCATAAATAAAAAAAACCCATTTTCTTGGTGAAATATCCGTTCCCAAAATATATTTATCATGATTGTTATATAAGCTTACAGAAAGTGCAACGTCTTATCTGTAAAATAAGACCAATTTCATGAGAAATGAACAATTATAAAGGCAACTAGATGGAATTTTGACTGCGCGCAGTCAAAAATGATGCCTACGCCATAGAGCAACTTTACAAACCAAAACGGAAGCAATTTTTAAAATTCAAGTTTGATTGTAATCCATCTGTCGGTTTTAATAATAATGCATTCACAAGCTATTTATAGTCATACATAATGAGCCCCATGACCTTTGACCTGATGACCCTAAAATCTAATCAGTTAATTGGCTCTGCAAGATACATATATACATGTCTTGAGTTTGATAGTAATCTGTCTATTGGTTCTCATTATAATGCGATCACAAGCTATTTGTGCATACATAATGAGCCCTGTGACCTTTGACCTCGTGACCCCAAAATATAATCAGTTCATTGGCTCTGTTAGATACATACATGACCCAAGTTTGGCAGGAATCCATTGACCGGTTCTTGAGATAACGCGATCACGAGCTATTTTTGTAGACATAATGAGCCCTGTGACCTTCGACCTCGTGACCCCAAAATCTAATCAGTCCATTGGCTCTGTTAGATACATACATGACCCAAGTTTGGCACGAATCCATCTATCGGTTCTTGAGATAACGCGATCACAAGCTATTTTTGTATACATAATGAGCCCTGTGACCTTTGACCTCCGACCTCGTGACCCCAAAATCTAATCAGTTCATTGGCTCTGTTAGATACATATATGACCCAAGTTTGGCAGGAATCCATTGATCGGTTCTTGAGATATTGCGATCACAAGCTATTTTTGAATACATAATGAGCCCTGTGACCTTTGACCTTCGACCTCGTGACCCCAAAATCTAATCAGTTCATTGGCTCTGCAAGATACATACATGATCCAAGTTTAGAGAGAATCCATCAATTGGTTCTTGAGATAACGCGATCACGAGAACGGTACGTACGGACGGACGGACTTTGTAGCGGAGGCATAAAAACTGCCAATCGGAAAGACCGTTTGCACTACTCATTATGCAGGACACGTAAATTCTTGCATACGTGCTTAATAAAATAGAGGGTTTTCGCACCGGCTGCGGTCTGACCGAGTACATTTCTCAATGTATATATATTGTATGTGATTTTTTATGAAATAAAAAATTGAATTGAGTTGAATAGTCTTTCTTGCTCCTCTTACTTTCATCTAGAACTAGAATTTCATTCAAATTCTTATGGTCTAAGAACTTTTTGATCTTCTTAAGAGAATTGTAATTTAATTCTTTACCTATCTTTCTAGTCACATTTTCTTGGACTAAGAATTGATTTGGTCCTCTTCCATTTTGGATACATTCTTTCTTTGTGGTCCTGAACTTATCTTTCAGGACTGGTCCTACATGTTTGGTCCTACATGTTTGGTCCTCATTATTTTGTCTTACCTTCCTGGTCTTTCTCCTGACTGCATAGATTGTTTTTGGACTGGCCATGATTGTCATCTTCTTTTGGGCTGGAATGATCGATAACAAATATTTTAAACGCACCTATGTATTTTCATAAAGGGGAGGTTTGGGAGGACTACAGCAATTAAACAGGTTTGAAGTATGCATGTTTACCTGTTTATTAACAATGTCAATACCCTCCTCCCCCCCCCCCAAGTCCCTTTTACATGCAGGTATAAGCACCAATGATGACTATGATGATGATGATTATAATGATAATAACAGCAATAATAATAATTAGTTAAATCAGAACTGATTTTATTATTTACTATATAAATCTATGTATCTACCTATTATTGCTTAGTCCTTCAGACAAAGCAGTAATCGAAACAAAAGTTACAGATATGCATACCCCACCCCAAGACCCCACTATACCCTTTAGTCATGCTCTCACGCGGCCTGAACCGCCTCAATGAGCCATCTAGAGATGGACTCCTTCCGACGCCGGAGAGAAGGGTTCACGTGTAATAAGAAATAACTGCTCACCCGTCCGGTTACCTTTAGTCCTGTCCAGGTACCACTTAAGAGCCCGAACCAGGCACCAAACCTTGTCTTCCTCAACAGAGGAGAAACTGGACAAAGGACAAAGAAATTAGATCTCCACCGGACCAGATGAGACAGTTTGATTCTTTGCTATGAAGGAAGGTTTGGGAATAAGCCTCACACCCTTCCTCTCCCAGCGGATGTGGCCTGGAGAAACACAAAGGGCATGAAGAGTTCCTCTCCTCTGCCCAGACGCAATCGCAATCAAGAACAAAGTCTTTATTGTGAGACAATGCCCAGAGGCTCAAAAGGTGGCTCAGATAAAGCAGCCAAAACCTTGGGCAGACCACAAGGAGGAGCCAGCTTCTGTTGGGGTGGACGCTCCAGAAAAAAAAGACTGCAACAACATTGCCAGACGAGAAGAGTTTGACACCCCTGAACCATCCGGGAACCCCCCGTGGATCGCAGCAATGGCTGACCGATACCCACGCAACGTGGACAGAGATCTACCTTTGTCAAATAATGAAATAAGAAAATCAGCTATGACACCCAGAGACGCCATCCTGGGCACCACGCCAAGAACCTCACACCACTGGTGGAACGCCTCTAACCGAGAGTTGTACACTGCTCTAGTCAAATCTCACCTTGCCATATCGAGCATCATCCTCAACTTCCCAGAGCGCTTGGGAATAATGAACCTCGGCGAGAGACTCAGACCAGGGTGGTCTGAAACTCGCTCTATTGCGCCCTTCTCCAACAACATGAGAATCTCGCTTGAGATGTGTTGCTGGTAAGGGACGGACAACGAAGGCGGACGACCTTGAATGGTGCCGCCCAAATCGGGCTCTACCAACTCTATGTAGAACCCTCTCGCACGACTGAGAGCACAAAAGTGTCTTCGGAGATAGCTTCCCAAAAGGGAAGAAACTCCTGGAGCCGATCGCCGACCCGGTCTACAAGCGCTCGGGGCAAACCTTCAAAAGGGCCGCTTGGTTTGAGGGAAAGGCTTGACCGAAGGCCTCGGCCCACCTCTAGCTGAACCCCTGCCACGACCCGAACGAGGCTGGGAAACAAACGGGAGTCCGAGTAGGCCCTGTAGGCCGACAAGGAGCCTGAAACGGAGTACGGCGAGGTGCCTGAGAAGGAGCACGCTGGCGTGAACCAGACGCAGCAGACCTCCTAGAAGGTCCTGACCACCCCCTGGGTAAAGGCTGCGCTCGGAGATGCCTGCTTGCGCCTATCAAACTCCTTCTGCAACATCGCAATGAACTGACCTCCACAGAGGAACTGCCTCGATGAGGAAATACCCTCACACAAAGAAGGGATATCCCTCTCCAACACACCCAGCTCCAACAGCGCAAGCTGACTGCGCTGAGACGTCACCACTACAGAGGTACATGAAATGAACTACCACAACAGTCCCGAAAGCAACAAAAGGACATTCTGAAGGATCAACAAATCATCCGACGACACTTCCAACTCGCCAGCCCTTGCCAAGAGACTGACGAGAGAGAGCCAAGATAAGCCGAAAGACGGAGAGAAACTCCTGTCATACCCGAAATCAACTCCAACGGCTTATCCCGCTCCTTGTACGCCTTAGTCTTGAGGATGACCCCCAACCTAAGCGCTACATTAACCAGATCAGGCGAAAGCTTCTTGGAGCTGAAAAAGTTACGAGTAACTTCCGAAATGAAAGAGAAAGCAGAACCTTACGACCTTACATATCGAAACACCCCGATCGGGTCAACTGAAATCCTCTCAAATTCGACTCTAAACTCCTCAGGAAGAGAAATAGAATCCGGAGAAGAACGCTATTTAAACAGCAAAGACGGCACACTACCACCAACACTAGGGCGAGAAAAAGTTTCAGGGAGATACTTCTCTAACAAAGCCCTCGCATCAGAGCCCAGACTCGAAATTTGACTCGGGCCTGAGGCCAGCTGCGAATTCTCAGAGACAACGGAGGCCGAGTCCCAGTCACACTGACGATCCAGAGTGACCGAATCATACGGATGAACAAAGTCTGACCAAGCGCCGACTGTACGAGGCAAAGATTCTGACGTCAGAACAGCGGCACTCGAAAATTCAGAAAAAGAATCTGAATCTGAAGACAAAGAGACAGGCTCTGCTACACTACTAGCCAGGGAACAGGGGACAGAAGGAACCAAACCTGCAAACGTGCCGGGTGACAAATTCAACGCCAAAATTTGTTCACCTGCCGATACAGCTGGGGCGCCCAGCTGACTGAACATCTGCTCCAAAAGAGCCCTGAGCTCTGCCTGCGCAGAACTCGAAAAAGACGACACAGGCGTCGATTTCTTAGCTTTCTTAGTCCGTTTCTGACGCTTCTTACCTGTCGCAATGGGGGATGAAGGGGACTACTTCGCCCTGCTAGCTTTCTTAAGCTTAGCTCCATTGGCGGATTGACCCGAGCCGACTCGCTTCACTGCTTCCATAGAAACTTGAGCGAAACCCTCATGATCAGTGTGACCGGGGACCTCACGCTGCAATACTTCCTGAGAAGCTGCAAAGTTTTGTGAGAAACTCCAGCGAAGACCCGGACGGTCAGCTGGCTGGCTCGAACGCGGTATCCTTCAGGTAACTTACTATAGGGCAAAGCCCCCGACACACCAGGCAAAAAATACCCGGTGCGGGGAGCCACCTGCCTCAAGCCTGTACTTGAGATGCCCTTACCACCCCCCCTCCTGCCGCACCAAACCCACTCGCTAGTGAGGCGCTGACAACATCCGTAACTGGGGGGAGTGAATCCACTCCAACACCAGACTCCTTGTCCATGGGAAAACCTGTGAATGAGACAAAACAAACTTTCGAACGAAAGAAAACCAACAACAATAAAACAAAGTAACCACAGTTACTAAGAACAAAAATCGACGTGCAACTAGCGTCAATCACAAACAAGCGTCGTTTATAAACACACGACAAACTCGAACAAACCAACAGTGTCGTTTATAAACACACGACAACCTTGAACAAAACAATCCAAACATAGTAAACAACTACGAAAGAGAAGAACGCTTACTTTAGCATCAACAAAAGAAAATTAACACACAGCAAGCTCAAACAAAAGAGCCGCAACGTATACACACACTTCAATAACACACGAGGTATGCACAAAGAAATCCTGTAACATTGGAGTAAACACAAACAGTGAAAAAGCCCCGGTACACACAAAGAAATGTGCCTGGGACTGAACTCAAAAAAGGAAGTTCGCTTGGCAAAGTGAACACTAAATTCTTGCCAAAACTAAAGTGACTGAGGGTTAAAAAACTGAACTAAAATGTATCAAAACAAATTGGAACTGGATAATGACAGAAAGAAAGCACCCAAAACGCTGCGAGGAGCAAAAAAACTCAAAATTTAGCAATGCCAAAGGCGCCGGCGGAGCTCCATAAAGTTACTGTAAGACCTGACGTTTGGGGTCTAGGCCTATAAATAGAAATGATTATGACCAGCAATGCCAAAGCATGAATGCATCAAAAAATCATAACTTAATCTTTTGAAATGTTGGTAGAGGATTAATTTTTCTTTAGTTTGATATACGTTGGATTGCCTAATATTCAATGTTTCTTTGAGAAATATGAGGTTTAGTTTAGTGTTACATTTTTTTTTGTGTTGCTTTTGGTAAAACATGATGTACACCTACCGTGCGCTGCGTAGTGGAGACACACATATATCGCATTCAATTCTGCATGCACTCGCAAGGCATGATCGACCAACATATATGGCACGAAAACAAAATTTGTAGCAATCTTTACATAGTCAATTATAATGAACTATAACTATAAAATGAATAGAACTTACCCTCATCACTCTCGCCGCGAAAAACGAGCTGGCTTCTTACTTGTACAGCTGGTCGTGTTGCAATTGAATAACGAAATCAAAGTGGTAAAACAGAGCGTATAATCGAGTCAAGCAAACACAATTCAAATTTCATACAAAGATAACGTGCACGCGTACATACTATGGACGGGCGCTCGCTAAACCATATTGGTAATAAATGTAGTCTAAATTAATCTTAGTAGTCTATTTATATATTTTAAAGCAATTAAATTTTTTTTTATTTTTAATACAAATTTTTAGTGTAATATATATACATTTTTATATTACTTTTGACTATTATTAGCAATTCAATTCCAAATAGATACAGGAGCCTTGGCATGTTCGGATCCAGATTTTCCAATGGGGAGGGGGATGGGGGGGGGGGGTTCAATTTCGAATAGATACAGGAGCCTTGTCATGTTCGGATCCCGTATTTTCCAATGGGGGAAGGGGGGAGAGGGGGGGGGGGAGGGGTTCAATTCCAAATAGATACAGGAGCCTTGGCATGTTCGGATCAAGGACTCTTTTTCCAATGGGGAGGGGGGGGGGCAAAGAAAATTTTAAAATCGCACAGACCGTTTTACTAATACTGACACTGGTCATATTAGCCTGGGAGGGGGGGGGGGTAATCACAAATTACGGCATACAAAGTTTTGCCGCTAATGTGTTAATTTTTCACACACAAAATCCCTAAACGATGGGTCCCATTTTGACAAAAAAATCACTAAACAAGAAGTTAGGAAGGGGGGAAGGGGGGAAGGGGGGAAGGGGAGGGATTCAGGAATTTTGGACTGGTCCTCTCATGCTCAGGGAAGATACGTCTCATAACTTGGTAGAGGTTCAAGAACACTGTCTAATCTTTAGAAAAAATGATATTTGATCGAAAGATAGATGGTTCCTCCATAACGGACAAGTCTTCTTGTAGACGGTTATTTTCCGTACTCTATGTGTTCCACATACAGGACATTTGGAGTTGGGGCGGGGTTGAGGGAGGAAGAAAGGGGGAGGGAGTGGGGAATATGGGATAAGCCCTTTAGCGCTCAGGGTTAATACGTTTTAAAACGACTTGGTGGAGGTTCAAGAACACTGTCTAATCTTTAGAAAAAATGATATTTGATCGAAAGATAGATGGTTCCTCCAATACGGACAAGTCTTCTTGTAGACGGTTATTTTCCGTACTCTATGTGTTTCACATACAGGACATTTGGAGTTGGGGCGGGGTTGAGGGAGGAAGAAAGGGGGAGGGAGTGGGGAATATGGGATTGGTCCTTTAGCGCTCAGGGTTAATACGTTTTAAAACGACTTGGTGGAGGTTCAAGAACACTGTCTAATCTTTAGAAAAAATGATATTTGATCGAAAGATAGATGGTTCCTCCATAACAGACAAGTCTTCTTGCAGACGGTTATTTTCCGTTCTTTACGTGTAATTAATATTGGACGTTCGGAGTTGGAGCGGAGAGGAGGGGAGGGGGGAGGGGGGAAGTGGGAAGGGGAGGGAGAGGGGAAGATTGGATTGGTCCTTTAGCGCTCAGGGAAGATACTTCTCATAACTTGGTGGAGGTTCAAGAACACTGTCTAATCTTTAGAAAAAATGATATTTGATCGAAAGATAGATGGTTCCTCCAATACGGACAAGTCTTCTTGTAGACGGTTATTTTCCGTACTCTATGTGTTTTACATACAGGACATTTGGAGTTGGGGCGGGGTTGAGGGAGGAAGAAAGGGGGAGGGAGTGGGGAATATGGGATAAGCCCTTTAGCGCTCAGGGTTAATACGTTTTAAAACGACTTGGTGGAGGTTCAAGAACACTGTCTAATCTTTAGAAAAAATGATATTTGATCGAAAGATAGATGGTTCCTCCAATACGGACAAGTCTTCTTGTAGACGGTTATTTTCCGTACTCTATGTGTTTCACATACATGTACAGGACATTTGGAGTTGGGGCGGGGTTGAGGGAGGAAGAAAGGGGGAGGGAGTGGGGAATATGGGATTAGCCCTTTAGCGCTCAGGGTTAATACGTTTTAAAACGAATTTTGGTTTGGTCCTCTCATGCTCAGGGAAGATACGTCTGATAACTTGGTGGAGGTTCAAGAACACTGTCTAATCTTTAAAAAAAATGATATTTGATCGAAAGATAGATGGTTACTCCATAACGGACAAGTCTTCTTCCAGTCGGTTATTTCCGTACTTTACGTGATATACATATTGGACATTTGGAGTTGAGAGGGAGGGGGGGGGGGGGGGGGGGGGGAGGGGGGAGGGGGGAAGGGGAGGGAGAGGGGAATATTGGATTGGTCATTTATCGTTCAGGGTGAATACGTTTTATAACAACTTGGTGGAGGTTCAAGAACACTGTCTAATCTTTAGACAAGGAAATTGAGGTTGGAACTTTCTTAATAGGCAGGGTGACCCATTAGCAGGCCCTCCAAAATGAAATCCTCTGAATATAATCAGCATTTTGAAGTGAATATTGATTAAGAATCATGAACAAATAAGAAAAATTTATTCATTTATTCTTATATTAAGTTGTGAAAACATAATCCAAGTCTACTGACCTACAATAACCTTTGACCTGGTGACCTGGAATTTGTGTCATATGACTTGTGATACTTGATAACTATTGGATACAAGTTTCATGGAAGTTGAACAAACACTTTTGAAAATATGCTAAAAATTCAAAATCTTGATGTTGATGCCACAAAAAAGTCTAAGTTTGTTGACCTGAAATGACCTTTAATCTTGACTTTGTGACCTGAAATTCAACTCACATGATTAGGGATACTTGATAACCCTATAGTGCAAGTTTCATTGACTAAGGACTTATACTTTCAAAACTATATCAAAAATTCAAAAACCTAACCTTAGGTTAAGTTTCCGATAATGATGCCACAACATAGTCTAAGTCTGTTGACCTGAAATGACCTTTGACCTGAAATTCAACTCACATAATAAGGGATACTTGATAACCCTATAGTCTAAGTTTCATTGACTAAGAACTGATACTTTCAAAATTATATCAAAAATTCAAAAACTTAACCTTAGGTTAAGTTTTTGATGTTGACACAGCCGCCGTCGCCGCTGTCGCCGGAAAAGCGGCGTCTATGTCTCGCTTTTTTGCTACGCAGGCGAGACAAAAGTGCATATTTGGCGGGCAGATTTTTTAAGGTGTTTTGAAATGAAATTTGAATCCTTGTTGAGTAAATATAGAAATAGCTCGTGCTGTAAGCCTACAACCATGATTTCATTTAAAACTTTAAACAAAAAATGGAATTCCAGAACAATTAAAATTCTTGTGGTACTATATGTGTTTCATGACTGTCAAAATATTTAAAATACTTTCTTTATACCGGCCTGTACATATTTTGATTTACAAATCACTTTATCACTCTCATTTGCTTTAAAAATACCAACGTGCTGAGTATTTTTTACAACCATGATTGCAATGAACACCTATTTTGGGGGAATCCAGAATAGTTAAACTCCTGTGGTGCTATGTATTTCATAACTCTCAAGATATATTAAACAATAAAAAAGCGTGCGTTCTAGTTGACCTCCGAGAAACTGTCTGCGTCCCGGGTCAAACGGCGCAAAGCAGCTGTGCAAGGCCAGGGCGCGACAAACCCGCTTGCCCGACGTCCCGGGGCAACCAAATTGAGCCGTCGGGCAAGTAAATCAAATTATCACTTGCCCGATTCGGGCAAGTGATACTTTTACAGTAATTTCCTAGTGTCCAAGAACTCTACCATTCACCCGTCAACTTCTTACCCGTCGTCAAAATCCAGAAGCAAAAAAGCGATCGTTCCGATTTCGAAAAAACTTCACAGACAGCTAGCCAGCTCAGCTAGCTCAGCGCGCATGCAACAGTGACACTTCAAGCCATGAATGCCGCTCCGCCTCCACGCACGGCCGGCCGTGAGCTAGCTAGAGACAGCTAGCGCGATCGTACCAGCTGCGAGCTTATTCGCGCTCTCTCTCTCTAGCTCTGCAGGCCGCACCGACAGGCCTTTGCTATTCTCTGATTGCCGATTGGTTGAATCACGCCAAATATGACGTCATTATTCTAGGGAAATGAACACGTGCGAATCGGAATGGAATAAACAAAAGGGATTTTCAAGTAAGTACAAAAAGTCAAATGTTTGATATTTATTCATAATGACTGTTAATGATTGTGAACATATTATTTAAAACTCGCTGCTCAAATAAATCAGATGAATGTTTTTGTCTCGTTTTCAATTTATTACTGCGGTCTCAAGATCCGACCGAGCGAGTCATTTTGATAATAGTATCGAGACCCCCAGAATATAAGCCGTTGTTGTTTTGTTTTCATGGTTTTAGCGACGTTGTTTAGTCTAGTTTTCGCATACTTATCCGAGATTTATCGTAAAATATCTTCAATATTATTATTTAGTAAGAATTTACAAATTTTGGCATGATATTTATAGCAGTGAATGATGAAATAAAAATGTCCGTACTTTATTTAAAATAGTTGATTACCCATTATTTACATGACGTTTCTTGATGGAAGAGTTGACCCAAATTATTAACAGCTGAAAATTAGCCTACGTTTCCAAATGACAGCGGCTTGCACAGACACACACGTGCGTTGATCAGCTGTTTTTTCTCGATTGTGCTAGTAAACATGGAGGCACCGCCAGCCAAGAAAGCGAACTACTTTTTCGCTTTAAAGTTTTGGGCAAGTGGAAATATTGTTTGGGCAAGTAAATTGAAAACCCACTTGCCCGACAGGGCAAGTGGTGAAAAAAATTCTTGTAGCACCCTGAAGGCCTTTATTTTGAATGAGACACAATAAACGTGACATCCCGCAAACCACGTTCGTATAGTGAGGTTCGATATGTACATATCTAGTGGTTAAACATGATAAACACACTAACTGATACATTGAACAGAAGCGAAGCTGAAATCACCTTTGCTAAGAGGGGGTTAGTGCTGTGTTGGACTTTGCAGTAGGGAACGATTGATGTGCGAGTTGGGCCGATGTGATGGGTGAAAAGGGGAGGTTGAACCCCTTTGTGAGACCACCCTTAAACTAAAAATAATAGGATGAAAATATGAGCTCACCTTCGCTGAGAGGGTGTTAATGCTGTGTTTGACTTTGCAGTAGGGAAGAGGAAGATTGATGCGCTAGCTGGGCTGATGGGCGTGAAGGGGAGATCTGGTACAGCCATACCGAATGTGGTTGACCAAAAATTTTGGCTAGCATTGACGATCCTCTGTTATTGTCTGAGAGGGGAGATAAAAGAATATAACAAATTACATGTATATGGAAAAGAGCCCCTAGGCCCTGTCTTACCAACAGTTGCGATTGATCCAAATCAATCGCAACTCCTTTAATCAATCGCAAGTTTTGCAATCATCTATCTCTTATGTACATAGGTGCGATTGACATCAATGGCAAATAAGTTGCGATTGATATCAACTCTTTGTAATACAGGGCCCAGGTATGTCAAAAATATCTTACGTGCAAACAAAGCAAAATCCATTTCCCCCTGTATAATTGTGATATGTTTGTGTAAATTTTTGTCATCATAGCCTCTACAGTAGCCTTATGTATCATTTGTACAACATTCATAACATTACAGAGCATTTTTTTGTTGAAAATCAGACATTTTCCAAAATGTATATTTCATACAACATAGAATTGTTATATATTTATGTGTTTGTGAGGATTCAATGATTATATGATGATTTATTTAAGGTACATTACAATAAGAAGGGGAGATGGGAGGGGTGCTGACCTGCCAACATCTGGAGTTTAAAAACTGTATTCTTTAATCCCAAAAGTTGTATTTTACTGACAAAAACTGTATTTTGTATAAAAAACGGATCAATGCCTCTTACATACAGCTCCTACAAACAGGAATGGTTTTTTGTTTGGAACATTGGTTGAATGTGCATGATTTGGTCATGACTGGTGTGTTTGATGAACCAATGAACATCCCCAAATTGCCAATCTGAGATGCTTGTAGGATACTACAGGACAGTATGGGCATTTTGCCATTGGCACACCCACACAAAATAAAAAAAAAAAAAATATATATATTGAGGAAGATCATACTGTCGTACTTCTACAAATTGTACGAAATACGATTAAATCGTACTGATTGGCAGATAGAATTCTCCCTGCCTTGAGAGATCACCAAAATAACCTAGCCTTTACTTCAGATGCAGAATATAAGAGCAGACTAAAGGGACTTTGAATAGCAAGCGTTATCTTTGAGTACTATGAGTGAGCGACGTACAGTGCACGTAGGACCCTAATAACACTGATACTATTGCCGACACTCTAGACTTGCCAATCCTATGATATGCCTTAACAAAAGGCTAAGGGAATAGGGGAAAGGATAAAATGAAATATAACTAGATGGAATATTTGACTGCACGCAGTTGAAAATGATGCCTCCGCCATAGAGCAATTTTACAAACCAAAACGGAAGCAATTTTTAAAATTTAAGTTTTTGGTTTTAATGATAATGCATTCACAAGCTTTTTATAGGCATACACAATGAGCCCCATGACCTTTGACCTGATGACCCTAAAATATAATCAGTTCATTGGCTCTGCAAGATTCATATACATGTCTTGAGTTTGATAGTAATCTGTCTATTGGTTCTCATGAAAATGCGATCACAAGCTATTTGTGCAAACATAATAAGCCCTGTGACCTTTGACCTTGTGACCCCACAATCTAATCAGTTCATTGGCTCTGCAAGATACATACATGACCCAAGTTTGGCAGGAATCCATCGACCAATTCTTAAGATAACGTGATCACAAACTATTTTAGCATATATAATGAGCCCTGTGACCTTTGACCTTCAACCTTGCGACCCCAAAATCAAATCAGTTCATTGGCTCTGCTAAATACATACATGGTTTAAGTTTGGCAGGAATTCATGCATCGGATCTTGAGATAACGTGATCACGAGCTATTTTTGCATACATAATAAGCCCTGTGACCTTTGACTCCCTGACCCCAAAATCTAATCAGCTCATTGGCTCTGCCAGATACATACATGGTTTAAGTTTGGCAGGAATTCATCCATCGGATCTTGAGATAATATGATCACGAGCTAATTTTGCATACATAATAAGCACTGTGACCTTTGACCCCCTGACCCCAAAATCTAATCAGCTCATTGGCTCTGCCAGATACATATATGGTTTAAGTTTGGCAGGAATTCATCCATCGGATCTTGAGATAACGTGATCACGAGAACGGGACGTACGGAGGGATGGACGGACAACCCGAAAACATAATGCATAAAAATGCTAAACACTTAAACTTCCCATAAACCTATTTAAAGGGAAAACAATACAGGAGGACAGATAGAGGGGGACGCACCTCCATAAAATATTAGAGGGGTCGTCCCCAGAAATTTAGAAAAAAAATCTTTTAAAGCATTTTTTGGTTCATTTCGTCATATTTTTTTAGCAAAAGTTGAGTCAAGACTGCCCCCCCCACCCCCACCCCCACCCCACATTTTGTCATGGATGATAGACAAGACTGTGTGATGAAAAAAAAACACTCAAAACCTTTAAAACCACAATGCACCCCGCTCCCCCCCCCCCCCCCCCCCCTGAGCTGAGACCAAAAACAAAAATCGCCGCCATCAAGTTTAATTAACATTAACAAATAACACCAGGCAAAAACGAAGGTACATGTAGGCCTACTCCTGCTATCCCCCCAGGCTCAGAATTCAAACAATGTCTTTTTTAAATTCAATAAATAGGTCTACATGCAAACAGAAGAGCTATTTAAAATCAATCAGCATCCTTTAATACCAATCGCAATAATTCGCAATAATACTATTTGTCTACGTATTTTAAAGGATCAGCGTAATGTACATGCTGCTATACGGAGACCAGCCTCCCTGGCTAGACCTTGGATCCTGCGTCACTAAAGACGGGGAGGCGGCACTGGCCTAGGTCATACCTATGGAGGTCGAGCGCGAGGATCCACAGTACTACCTAGGATATTATGTGGATCGGCTGTAATTCCAGCTTTAAAACAGAGAGCGAAGAGGAATCGTGTTTACATGAGAGAATATGAGACAAATAGACAGTCAAACAAAATGTGAGACACAGAGAGGCAAAGAGAAACATGGAAAAAAACAAGAAGAATAGACAGACAGAGAGAAAGAAGTTAAAGAAGTTTAGGATGTCAGACATGCAAAAAAATGAAGAAAACAACTTACTCTGTGTTGATAAGGAAGTTGTCAGGCTTGACATCACCATGGATGATCTTACATCGATGCATGTACTCAACAACCTGCAGGATCTTAATAGCGAAGAACATCACCCAGTCCTCAGAATGAGATAGATCTTTCTTATTAACAGCCTTGACTTTGTTGAATAGGTTTAGAAGGATGCCTTTTGATTTGTACTCAGTCACCATGCAGCTCTTGTCTTGGTAGATGTGTGCGCATTCAGCAGTCATAATGGATTGACGCTGCAGAGTAAGAGATTAAAGGTCATTATTAAGTGATTAAGCACTCCTATAAAGACGGATTTACAGTAACTGCTTCCAATTTCCTTTTTTCTTCTTCGATTATTCACAATACCATCCTAATATCATACAAATAACAAATCCTTGTAGAAGAACAAGGAATACAATGTAAAACTAATCCTACATGATGATAAGCAACCAAATTCAGTAAATTGATGATTAAACAAACAAGGAATTCACTCTGGAAAACAATTGAGGAAAAAAATAAAATCATTTGGCCTCATCTGTGAAGTAAATAATGAGTATCACTTCGTTAGGGCCTAAACAAAAAAAGATGTTGTATTGCCCTTTGCAACCGACCCAAAGATCTTGAAATCCATGACCGACCGGCCCATGTTTTGGCACCTCATGTTGGTTCAGAGTTTAATTTTAGGTTTACAACTCACCACATCAATCTGGGAGGGTAGTCTACTAAGCCTAGCATGTAGCTCTTTGATCTCCCTGGGGCATGGAGGGTGTTGGATCTTGAGGGCCACTCTGCGGAAATCACAATCCAGGTCAGTCATGTCCAGTGCATCCAGGCATGCAACCAGGTAGATGGTGGCAAAGGCCCCTTCTCCTACCTTCTCCATTACACTGTAGATATGGATCTCATCACCTGGTAGTAGCAAAAGCGAGAAGATCATGTCAGCCTGGAGCATAGGTGGTCATATAATAGCAATGTTGAGAGAAAAAAACAAAGAGACAAAAGTGATTCACGGTGAGGAAGACTTAAAATCTCTCTGAATATAAACATGATTAGCAAGTGTGCGCATGTAAAAATGACGCCTGGCTGGAATGCTCCCCAGGGAGTGGAGAATGTGCATACATTGTGTGCGGGTAAGCCTGAATCCAATGACCGGGGTAATAATATCTGTAAAGCGCTTTGTGAGGGCCTCCGGTCCTGAAAAGCGCTATATAAGAACGAGCTATTATTATTATTACCTAATCTTATCTGATTGATTGATGAATTATATACATCCTGGAAGAATGGTTATGTTAATGAACAATTACTGCTTTACGTACAGTCTACTGATTTTTATCTTCTCATATTTGTTTTTTTATTTTTTTATATGTTGTTATAATCTGTATAATCTCCTCACCCAAATCTATGTATTACTTGTCGAAGGCAAATCTCAACTCCGTTTACGCATGAATGTTCTACATGCATAGAACTAGATACCGTACCCAGGATATATACTACACATCAGATAATACTTCAATTGATAATGCTGATTATGTTCTACCAAACCAATATAATGATGTCGTAAAGGATATTTTGAAAAATAAAAGTGTTTTATCCATGGTACATTTTAATTGCAGAAGTATAAAGAGAAATCTTTAGGACAAGCGTTTCTGCTCCCATATGAGTAGAATACCCGACGCAGAACTGAGCCAGACAAACTTAACAATTTAGAAGACACCCAACTACGAGAAGGAAGAAAATGAAATTGAACTGGAAGCCCGACTGCTGAGAACACAGCATTCTTCCAGAATCTCGGGTAAAGGTGAAGTAAAGATACCTTCCATAGTGTTCTTGCCAGTATTTCTTGCTCATTTTCTTGTATTGCATTATCAGAAACTTGGTTAGCATGTGATGAAGAAATTCAAATCCCTGATTATAGGTTTATTGGAAATGGTAGGCAAAATAAGCGTGGAGGTGGTGTAGGTTGTTTGCTAAAAAAGGATATAAAACATGAAAACCGTAAGGACTTGAATGTTTTTAATCAGTGTATGGAAACAATTTTTATTGAGATATTTTCTAAAACAAAAAATATAATTGTTGCCAGTGTACAGACCCCCTGGGCAAAGTGTATCAGACTTTTTTCACTGCCTTAGAAGACACTCTTAGTGCAATAACTCGAGAAAATAAACAGTGATTTCTTATTGGTGATTTTAATATTGATCTTTTAGGTCTAGACTAGTAACTTATTCCTGCACACCCTTGATTTTATACCCAACTAGAATAACACAAAGTTCAGCAATTCTAATTGATAACATATTTACAAACAATCTGGATAATATTTAAAAAAACTGGAATTCTTGTAAATGATGTCAGTGATCATCTCAGCGTTTTTGCTATCGTTAATTATGAAAATGTTTTATACTTACAAAGACCTATTCCCTCTTTACTTTAACTCGTTGTAAACTAATTACAGTAGTTGGTCACGCAGCCCTCTACCCACAATAGGTGGCCTACAAGTGACTGCTAGCGACACGGGCACTCACCCACGTATCCAGTCAGTCCAACTAAGCATCCAAAATAAATGAAGGAAAAACCCGACAAAATCGGTCTTAACAAGGAGAAAAACAATGATTTAAAACAAAAGCAAAAGGTTTCCTACCTTACGACCGACGAACAACTCCCTCGAAGTGCGCTTGGAAATAGCTTTGGAATTACGAATTGCAAAACTTGCCGGAGCAAAGAAATATTTCAACCTGCCTAGGTAAAGAAACAAGTCAAAAGTAATCGAATCTGCTCACTCAGATGTCCTCCGCCGTTTCCGAGAAAGTCCTGCCTCTCTTACGTAACACAACAGATACGTCACAACACGTGAGCGAATTGGGAAATTCCCTTTTACCCCCTCCGGAGAATTTGGATGGGCAAGCCACGTCAGCGAACGTGCGCGAATTTTGAATCACGTTCTCCTCCAGACTCACGCTCGGAGGGATATGGATGGAAAAGCATAACCCAGCCTGGGGAGTGGGGATATAACCACCCCCCCCAGTCATTTCTGGAATATGTCCCACGTTCCATCACACCCAACATTTTAAAATACATAAAACAGAATATTCACAACACTAGTATTAAAACTAGCCACAAATAATCACATAACATCCACTCACGGGAAATATAAATACCATACTTCACCGCAGCCATCCGGCCATGGGCCTACCCAAGGCAACCCCCCCCCCCCCCACCGAACCTGTCAGCCCTTCACGGCACTCACCCCCGTAATGGCACAGAAAATTTACCCATTAAAACACGAATGGTCAGCTGAAACTACGAGCGGGCAACGCCCACCACTTCCATCCGGAAACATCGTTTCCACTAGCCCCAAGCACAACCTGGCAAATTTAGTTCCATGCCCGTTTTTACAAGTTAAAATTGACAAAACACAACAAGTTACCCCAAAATGATGCATTTCGAGGTCCTAAAAGTCCGTGACGCCAATGAAGTAGACTTGGGCATCTACTTTAATAGACACCAAAACCAGACATGTAATACTCACTGGAAATGTATTGGGCCAGTCATCTGGTCGGTTCAGGTGTCGGTGCATAAGAGTAGAGGTTGGCTTTCTTCCACGAAGCGCTTTTCATTATATATTATACAACGGAAATGTGCTTGAAATATGCTTTTCATTATATATAAATAATGTAAATGTGAATTGCAATTATTTATAAACAATGAAAATGGGAATTGTAATTATTTATAAATAATGAAATTTAGAATAGTAATTATTTATAAATAATGAAAGTGTGATTTGTAATTATTTATAATTAATGAAAATGTGTTAAGAATTATATAAAAATAAAAAAGTACATTTACTTGCATTATATGTAAATAATGGTTATTAATGATTATATAACATATAATTTGTCTATATAATTGTTCTACAAACGGCGTCTCATAGATTAGCGCCATCTATTTTGAAAAATATTATAGGTAGGCCTAATATAGTATTTGTGGGATCTCTCTCATCATCAATTCAAAATAGATGAAATAAAAAGTAGGTGACATGTACATAATGTCAGTAATTTGTGTTGCTACAAATGACAACGGCCTCAGGCTGCCATATTACGTTTAACTTTAGGTCCCCCCCCCTTAAGCAAAAGGAACAACCTAAAGTTCTCATACTTGTATGTGCGCTTCCATAGTTGGTATCTCTGCTTTCTTAAACCCAGGTCTAAGATAGGATTAGGGAAGAATGTTATTACGATTGATTTCAAAGAAGTTCAAAATGGTGTATGTACATTCAAACGTAGTTATACATGAATATCCATTTCTCGAGGTACAACTTTGTGAAATGAAAGCAGGCTCTTCGTGCTAGTAGCTCAGTAGGCTCATCCCAAAAGTATTGTATAATTTATTATTTTTTGGTCTCATTAACAGTTTTAGATTTGACGGTTGCTATGGAGGATGCACTTTCATTTCTTGACATTTTTTTTTTTTAAACATCACTTTATTGTTCAAACTTGCACAACAAAGGAAAGATACAATAGCCCAGGACAATTCCATTTTACTGGAAAATGCAGGGCATTAAAAGTACATACAGTGTATGTTATATAACATCACCAAAACAAAAATTAACTAATTTTACAACATAGTGAAGACTAAGGAGGTATGGATATTCCTAGCTATAGATAATCAAATAAGCAGATGCTCATCCACCCTTTGTCTCAGCCATCTATCTTTGTGTCTGTTTTATTCTCATCTATCTATATGTTTTTCTCTCCCTATCTATCTTTGTGTATATCTGTTTTTCTCTCCCTATCTATCTTTGTGTATATCTGTTTTTCTCTCCCCATCTATCTTTGTGTATATCTGTTTTTCTCTCCCTATCTATCTTTGTGTATATCTGTTTTTCTCTCCCTATCTATCTTTGTGTATATCTGTTTTTCTCTCCCTATCTATCTTTGTGTATATCTGTTTTTCTCTCCCTATCTATCTTTGTGTATATCTGTCTTTCTCTCCCCATCTATCTTTGTGTCGATCTGTTTTTCTCTCCCTATCTATCTGTGTCGATCTGTTTTTCTCTCCCTATCTATCTTTGTGTATATCTGTTTTTCTCTCCTTTATCTATCTTTGTGTCGATCTGTTTTTCTCTCCCTATCTATCTTAGTGTCTATCCATTTTCTCTCTCTATCTATCCTTGTGTATATCTGTTTTTCTCTCCCTATCTATCTTTGAGTCGATCTGTTTTTCTCTCATCTATCTATCTGTTTGTCATTTTACTGTTATTTTGCTGAGAAGTCTCATATGCTATATATATATATATATATATATTATCATAATGAGCAAGACATTAAACAAAAATAGGACAAAAACATGCTGAGATTTAGTGTTATATCAATTTATATTTTGGTTTCACAATGTGAGATAGAATCATAATAATATATTTCATCTTTGATCAACAAAAGCACAAAAATATTGTGTGTACACGACACTCATAATGCCAGAGCGAAATGCACTTTATCATACATATATATGCCACATATTGGTGTATATATTTTTCAAATACAAAACATTAATACAGAACATGCAACCACAATCAATTACAGTAAGTCTAATACTCTATGACACTCAACACATAGATGTCCACTAAATCTCATTATCACTTATCCCAATTAACTTCATCATGATATGCACATGACACACAATTAATGCATTGACAGGGCTTGCCCTTAACTTTTTGTCGAGGTGGCCAGCAGGGCCACTTGAGCAGGAGATCTGGGTGGCCAAATGGAATTTCAGGTGGCCCGGATATTTAAAAATCGGCAAATTTGTGGTTAAAAAAAAAAAAAAAAATCAGCTGAGTTTGATTAGGGACAAGATTTTTTGAGAGGGTTCTAGACATTGTTACATGCGTTTAAAAGGTCGTCTAGAACCCTCTGGGCCCCAGTACATCGATAAATTAAAAAAAATTAAAAAAATAAAAAAAATAAAAAAAATAATTTTATTTTTTTAATTTTATTTAATTTTTTTGGTGGCTACCCGGGCCACCTAGTCGGTGATTTCAGGTGGCCCGACGCCATTTCAGGTGGCCATTGGCCCCGGGCCACCGCCAAATTCGAGCCCTGATTGAAGATTTATCATCCATGATTTGTTTGAATTATCAAAAAAAAATTATCATCACATAGACATGTATTTAGGGTCGCACCAAACAAAAACCCCAACACAACAATAAATGCTTCTTTCCATCAAATATTTGATATTTGTTGTGGAAGGGGGGGGGGGGGGGGTTCTGGAAAGAGAGCTTGCAATAAATAATGGGAGAGTAGGAGATATTGCCAATAATATCCCATTCAAAACAAAGCAAAATATGATAACCTAAAATATAGAAAAATAATAAATTCTGTACTGGCTGATTCCTTGGTCTCATACAAGAAAAGAGGGAAAGAAAAGTAGGAAACTTCAGCACACAAGGGATCAAAAGAATATAGTAACTATTAGAGGATTAACATCTTTTTAACAGGACAGCATTGTTCTTTCATTCCTCTATTAGGAGGCTCCATCAACAGGTTCATTAATAACCTAAATCCTGCAATTGTGCTATACTTTAATCAAATAGACTACTATTCAATACCTTACTATAATATCTCCTCTATATAGTCACTGTCAACATGTGTAGTTTTCTGGGAAGACAAAACAAATAGGAAATTTGAAGAAACATACATTAAAGTCGGTATTAAAGATCATATCACTTTTTCTTCTTAAAGAAAAGAAGAAAATAGTCATGAGGTATTACATAATTTTATGCAAGTGGTAGCATTTGACATCGCTTGTTGGTGATTACTGGATGTCATACTAAACAGATTATCTATAAATCATTAACTTCATTGTTTCATTATTAAATCATGAGCTAAAAAAGAAATCAACATTACAACTCCTTTTTCAAATTTTCCTATGAGAATATGTATTACCACGTACATCAATGAATGACTAATGAATATATATGTATTAGATGAATGGATGAGTTCCTAAAGCAGCTGTACTAGAGCTTGGTTCAGTGATACCGCTGATACTAATTAACTTGGTATCTTTGATATGGGACACAAAATGAACAAATACATTGGATTTGCAAAAATATCTGTGCTACTTCCCTCTTTCTTTCAACATTCTTGATCTTTTGCTCTGGTCTGACTCATATTCTTTTATGATACATGATACATTGACCTGACAAAGGCCTATGACAGTGTAAACTGTCAAAGCCTTTGGAATGTGCTCTCAAAGATTATGATTATGAGTCAGTATATTGAGCCATCATGGATGTTGTCACTACTTGGGCACTGTAACCTAAATCATGAAAATAATACTGATTTTGCTGTTAAGCATTGAGAACATTTAGGAAACAGTGCCAGTATTCACAAGATTACTGAACTGTCTTCATGCGATTGACAACAAAAATGAAGCTCCAATATACTAGTTCATTTGATGATTACTTGATTTCAAATTGAAAAGACCATACAAAAATACATGCCACACAGTTAGTAGGCCACTTAGTAAACATAACCAATACCAATAAACTGTTTTACAGGTAAATCAGTTTTGAAATGACACGATAGCATAGAAACAGGAGAAACTATGCATGTACACATTACATCACAAAAACACTTCACATGTACTATACCATTACATATTGCAATTCTGTGGCAACATACATACTGTACATTTAAAAGAGGGCTATGGTACACATATACACATGTATAATTTGTATATCTACATATACAAGAAGTATAGAGCTACCCCCTCCCCCCTCCCACCTCTTGCAGACAATCAGACCTGTAAATCAAATTACATTTTTGAGAAAATGAAGACATTCAGGTTTGTTTGAAATGGTGCTCTATAACAACTCCTGAAGAAGGATGTCTTGACAGGGTTTACTATGAGAGTATGCAATAACAATGTACAGTACATATCCCATTTGAAGAGTAAATTGTGTACCGGTAGGTAATAACTATCTGCAAATATCCCATATGAGCGCCAAACTTCACATGTGATCAAACACCTGTCTGTCATTTATACAATTCAAACATCAATAAGAAACGTATCAAACCCATTCCTTCACACTGCAATCAAAAATAGAATAATTCTGACCATTCAATGTTCAGCTATGGTCCCCTTGCATTCAAATTTGACTTTAGTATCTGTCCAGGCCATCAACATAACAGCCTTGTGACACTCACCTTCCCTTTACAGATAAGATCATACATAAAACATAACATCTCACATAGAAAAATACATACATGTAGATCTAAATATCTTCCTTTCATAATATGTAAAACATATGTATTTCATCAAAAGCACTCCTGAAAGAAATTACACAAGACTCTGACAAGAAATGGTACACTGCATGAAATACTACATAATCACTTGGTCTCAAGACAAATGCAACAATGTATCTATTTACTTCAATATGATGCACAGTATCCCTGCCTATGGTATTTAAAGTCGATGATATGATATTGTTGAGTGGACAGTTAAATTGTGCATACAAAGCAAAATATCGATATCATGATAAAATCATATTTTGTTTTGCCTAGATGAGCTAACTTTTTTTTTTTCTTCTTACTTTTGTATAATGATGTACAATTCTCTTTATATAGGAGTGATTAGGTGTTTATCTGTGTACTGTAGGGTCTCTCTGTACATCATTGCTTACCATCACATAGATAGATAGCCACATCATATACAGTGAATACTTTTAACTATAATGATCAGACATGGTGTGGCTACTATGTCAGCTGCTCCCTGTCAAAAAATGATGATATCTTTCATTGAAACAATCTAAATCCATTAGTAATCTGTCTTGTTCTCATATATTAAACAGCTACCCATGGTGTACTATATGCCTGGACTAAGAAGAGTTGCAGTATAGCTTCTCAAACAACAGCATGTATACAGATTTATAAACACTATCACCAGGTGTGAAGTTCAGAATTGAAGTGGTTCTTAAAATGAGGCTAAAACCTGGTATTTCAGAAAATTACCTTTAACAATTCTTTTTACTTTGACCTATTTACCCCTAAATCTACTCAGATCATCTTCCTATGATGAGTAAATACTATCACCATCTTTGAAGGTCATACCTCAAGTGGTTTTTTAGATAGCAAGACAGCAGGATGTATGGACGGACAGAAAACCTCCACCTTCAGTGGACTGAAGCATACCAAAAAAAAGAGAACCAGAAAGTATAGAAGATTATCAGATGAAGGGTTTGTCTTTGGTTACTACCCGATGCAGCTTTTTCATTCAAAGGGATGTTACAAGTGTGTTACATTATATGTAAATCCATCTATCTCTACTTGCAGCACCCAAGTTAAATCATGGATATACTAGCACTAGATATGCTACTCCCAAACCCCTTGCTCCAAGGAAAATGGTAATACATGGCAGGCTGACATATAAAAAGACACACCACAATAAAAACCAATGCATAAGCATGAAGGTCAACCTGCTCGTAAATACAGCGATAAGGCAATCCCTTGAAGTGTGACACGTTGTGGTGCGAGCCGATCACTCTTACTTTATAGTTGATTAACATCTAAACCTTCCAGCTTGTCTTATGATGTTGTGTTAGGGAGTATGTTCACATTGAAGTCAGTGGAATTCTGAACTAAACAATATCAAACTTGGTTCATATGCACATAGAATAAGTAAGCTTTCCTTCCTTTTAATTAATTCCTAATCAATTTTCATACCCGTCGCTAGTATCCATATTCATGGTTAAATCGTAGGCCCTCCACATGCACTCTATGATCAAGAGTACACAAAATATTTAAGTCTGAGAAAAGAACTCACTCAGTTGTGTTTCACAGAACACTCTACTGAGTGACTCAAAACATAGCCTCTTCATTTAAAAAAAACAACTTAACTGTCGTTTTACCAGGACAACCCAATATCGCCTATCATTCAAGTACATGATGCACATCAACTTCTCATGGATTGTAGCAATCAAAGGATTTTTTTTATAATCACCATAATGTTACAGAACAATGTAATGTGGTTGCTTCTGAAGGTCCTGGTAAACATCATTGATCATTAATATCTCACTCTTAGAATAGACTGAAAGGTTGATAAATATGGTCAGTGTCATTGCTATTTCAATGATGGGTTCTTTTGTGTAACATCTCATATTTAGAGGTGACACAATAGTTCATAAGGTGTAACACTCTATCCATAGCATAAGAGCTGTATCAGACTTGCAGGCTTTCTGGTTTCCTTGCTGGTTTCCACAGTCTAGCATTGTATGATACACAGTTCATTGAGACAACAATGATGCTATGTAACACAGTACAGCATCTTGACAGGTAAGTGTTTAGTCTTGGTCTAAACTGAGCAAAACCTGGCCTTATGGAACCCCAGGATTGCCCTTGTATCTTTTGTTTTCTTCAGTCGCTCATGCTTGTTATTGGCACATGGAGTGTTTTGTTTAGGCAAAGAATACTTCTGCTCACAATGTTTGTCTTTTTGTCATCGTCTGCTTGAAACCCTTCACCTGTGCTGATTCACCAAAAGCTTTGTTGCAATGGTTATATGTAGGACTGGTAGAATGAAGACATCCCGCTTCACAGAGTTCAGAGTGCAGCATGACATATGACTTTGGTTTGTTTCCTTCTGCTGGGCTAACTCGACAGGAGTTGAGCTGGGATAACAACGATGGCTATAGACCGTAAGAGGAGGATGAGGGATACAAACGATGGCTATAGACCATTAGGGGAGGATGAGGGATACAAACGATGGCTATAGACCGTAAGAGGAGGATGAGGGATAACAACGATGGCTATAGACCGTAAGAGGAGGATAAGGGATACAAACGATGGCTATAGACCGTAAGAGGAGGATGAGGATCCCATTTCGCCTCTCTCAGAGTTCTGTACCAGGATCCCAAGCCTCACAATCATGGATTGGAACTTTGGTCTTTTGAGTGGATCCATCTCCCAGCAGTCGTTCATCATGGTCTCAATGGCTGCTGGGCAGGATGGGGGATGTGTCAGGCGCATGCCTTTCTCAAAGAAATCTAACAGTTCAATATGCTCTACTCTTCGCCCTTTGGAATCTTGGTAGCTGTACAAATGAAAATCAAGACAATAACATTATATATTATATACCTTACTTTAAGAATCTTTTCTAAGACTAGTTGAAAGTGAAGTTGTGTTTTTAACTATGCCCGCAAAAATTTAACTATGCCCACAAAAATGCGGGCATAGTTAAAGTTTGCTGCGATCCCCATTGGTTTACGTGTAAAATATTACTTTGTGCGAGCTTGAGCGCGGATATCATAATTGCAGTGCGATTTGATAGCTAAATTTTCCTGTTCCACTGGAGCACAGTTTGATGATAGTTTTTAAATGTGAGGACCCCATGATCGGTAAGTGAGTCGCACATGTATTCTTTGACTATTTTTATGGCATAGAAAAGATACATTGACTGCTTTAATATTTGAGGCATAGTTGTTTCGATAGGCTCTCGGGGACGTTAAATCCTGCTATAACCCCTCGGCACGGCCCACAAAGTGCACACTCTTGAAAGGAGGTGCATATACATGTTAAAGAGGCATTTTCAGAGATTCTAGTGGTCAAAGGGGCCATAAGTTAGCCCTTGTATCACTTAAAAACCAGACTTAGGAAATGATGTCCTTTGGTAAATAAAAAGAAATATGATAAGTTTGTCTCCCATCACACCAGACCCCCATGACATCATAGAGTGTTTGTCTCCCATCACACCAGACCCCCATGACATCATAGAGTGTTTGTCTCCCATCACACCAGACCCCCATGACATCATAGAGTGTTTGTCTCCCATCACACCAGACCCCCATGACATCATAGAGTGTTTGTCTCCCATCACACCAGACCCCCATGACATCATAGAGTGTTTGTCTCCCATCACACCAGACCCCCATGACATCATAGAGTGTTTGTCTCCCATCACACCAGACCCCCATGACATCATAGAATGTTTGTCTCCCATCAGACCAGACCCCCATGACATCATAGAGTGTTTGTCTTGTTTCTCAACAACAAAACAAAATAAAACTCAAAATTGTTACATGACTGAAATGTGTGTAAGGGGGGGGGGGGGGGGTTGGAATGTGGTGAATGGGAGTGTGAAGTGTGCTCTGGGGGGGGGGGGGCTGGAGTGATGAATGGGAGTGTGAAGTGTGCTCGGGGGGGGGGGGGGGGCTGGAGTGTGGTGAATGGGAGTGTGAAGTGTGCTCTTGGGGGGGGGGGGGCTGGAGTGGTGAATGGGAGTGTGAAGTGTGCTCTGGGGGGGGGGGGGCTGGAGTGTGGTGAATGGGAGTGTGAAGTGTGCTCTTGGGGGGGGGGGGGGCTGGAGTGGTGAATGGGAGTGTGAAGTGTGCTCTGGGGGGGGGGGGCTGGAGTGTGGTGAATGGGAGTGTGAAGTGTGCTGTGGGGGGGGGGGGGTGGGGCTGGAGTGTGGTGAATGGGAGTGTGAAGTGTGCTCTTGGGGGGGGGGGGGGCTGGAGTAGTGAATGGAGTGTGAAGTGTGCTCTGGGGGGGGGGGCTGGAGTGGTGAATGGGAGTGTGAAGTGTGCTCTTGGGGGGGGGGCTGGAGTGGTGAATGGGAGTGTGAAGTGTGCTCTAGGGGGGGGGGGCTGGAGTGTGGTGAATGGGAGTGTGAAGTGTGCTCTGGAGAGGGGGGGGGGGGCTGGAGTGATGAATGGGAGTGTGAAGTGTGCTCTGGGGGGGGGGGGCTGGAGTGGTGAATGGGAGTGTGAAGTGTGCTCTGGGGGGGGGGGGGGCTGGAGTGTGGTGAATGAGAGTGTGAAGTGTGCTCTTGGGGGGGGGGGGGGGCTGGAGTGGTGAATGGGAGTGTGAAGTGTGCTCTGGGGGGGGGGGGCTGGAGTGTGGTGAATGAGAGTGTGAAGTGTGCTCTTGGGGGGGGGGGCTGGAGTGTGGTGAATGGGAGTGTGAAGTGTGCTCTTGGGGGGGGGGGGGCTGGAGTGGTGAATGGGAGTGTGAAGTGTGCTCTGGGGGGGGGGGGGCTGGAGTGTGGTGAATGAGAGTGTGAAGTGTGCTCTGGGGGGAGGGGGGCTGGAGTGTGGTGAATGGGAGTGTGAAGTGTGCTCTGGGGGGGGGGGGGGGCTGGAGTGATGAATGGGAGTGTGAAGTGTGCTCTGGGGGGGGGGGGCTGGAGTGTGGTGAATGGGAGTGTGAAGTGTGCTCTTGGGGGGGGGGGGGGCTGGAGTGGTGAATGGGAGTGTGAAGTGTGCTCTGGGGGGGGGGGGGGGCTGGAGTGATGAATGGGAGTGTGAAGTGTGCTCTGGGGGGGGGGGGGGCTGGAGTGTGGTGAATGGGAGTGTGAAGTGTGCTCTTGGGGGGGGGGGCTGGAGTGGTGAATGGGAGTGTGAAGTGTGCTCGGGGGGGGGGGGGGGGCTGGAGTGTGGTGAATGGGAGTGTGAAGTGTGCTCGGGGGGGGGGGCTGGAGTGGTGAATGGGAGTGTGAAGTGTGCTCTTGGGGGGGGGGGGGGCTGGAGTGGTGAATGGAAGCGTGAAGTGTGCTCTGGGGGGGGGGGGGGCTGGAGTGTGGTGAATGAGAGTGTGAAGTGTGCTCTGCTTGACTTACATTGGATCTTGACCATATGAGAACATCTCCCAGAGCACAATACCAAGACTCCACACATCACTCTCCTTCTGGTATTTCTGATGTCTCAGCCATTCAGGTGCATACCTGAAATCACATTAGAAGAAGAATCATCATAAATAATCCTTTCACAATAGCAACAAGAAATCATTTCATTGTGGCGATCTTAAAAATAATCCTCTAAACAACATACTAAAACTTAACGCAGATCCATGAGTGGAAAGTAAAGTAGTTCAATTCGCATAATAAGCAAATATTTAGGTACTAAATCTAAAGGGTTTTAGTGATGTTTTCAAGGTCAGCAAACTCATTGACAACATTTTCAGATTCATCTCATGACTTATAATTTGCATAATATGCAAATTAACATCATTCATGAATTAAAATATGTTTCATAGTTTAGCATCTAGGTACTCGACTGCAATAATTCAAATGCCCCACATATTATGTTCTTAACGTTACTAAACATGCATCGAGATGCATAAATTGTGAAACCAATTTGAATAATAGGGAAATAAGGATAGGTCAGAAAGAAATTAAGATTCATATGTTCCCTTTAACTTTGCATCCATTTCAATCTAATGTGTTCAAGGGCAGTGAGAGAAATGGACACATTTCCAAAATAATGTAATGAATATAATTTGCATAATGCACAAACAAACTTCAACAATAGAGAAATTGAAATTCATATTTTCATAATAATTTACCATCTAAGATCCCATTCAAATCAATTCAAGTGATGTCATTGATGTTGGCATTGTTACTGAACATGAAAACATGAATCAGATTATATTCTGCCTCTGAAATACCTCAAGGCACATCAGAGACATGTATTGACTGTCAGTCATTTCAAATTGAAATTTTATACAAACAGTGCATGCTCCAGAGTACACGTATGTACTCGTAACAAAATAAATAGCAACACCCAACCCCCCTCCAAAATTTGTTTCTACAGAAGATCACTATATGAATGAAAGACATTGATCTTACCACTTGATAGGGACCTTCTGACTGCTTTCCTTAGCCCGGTAGTAATCTTTTTCTGTCCCAAAGATACGAGCCAGACCAAAGTCTGTGATCTTGACCTCATTCTCATTAGAGACTAAGACATTCCTAGCAGCAAGGTCTCTATGTACCATCATCCTCTCCTCATGTAGGTATTTCATGCCCTATAACAACACAACAAGTTTTTGTCATTCAAAATTCAACCACATTCCTAAATATAAACAGAGACATACTTTAAGCCTCAAATTTCTATACTCTATTCTGTATGGTTTATTTATTACATGTTTTACTTTATTGACTTTACTCAACAATGTGTTCATCTGACATGGAAAGAAATTTTCATTTTTATATAGATATTATCATAATATCTGAAGATTCATATAGGTGTTGCCTCAAAGCCATCTATTACCAGAATCGTTTTTCAGGTATATTATGCTCTTCATTTTCAATTTCATCTATAAACACAACCCCATGTGTTAGTAAAAGCACACTTTCCAGATTTGAAATTAATACCGGTCATTAGTAAAATCATGTTATAAAACAAATTAAATGCATGTATCATCTTATAAAACAAATAACAAACATCATTTTGTTCGGGCATTAGTAAAATTACCAACCCTCGATACCTTCGAAACAGTCCAAACAGACTGATTCAAGGTAAACTTGTGTGGGCAATTCTTTCTAATGCCCTCACTCACTATGAACATGGCGGACAAATTAGAAAGCAAACAAAATATACAGTTCCTCAGGTACACAAAAGTGAATATGCGACACCTGTTCTACACATTTGTACATAATAGCAGTGAAGGGATGTTCCTTTGTCTACCCGAGGAACTGTATATTTTGTCCGCTTTCTTTGTCAGTCATATTCATAGTGACTGTTGTGTATTATTTGTATACTACTGATCAATTTTACCTGGCATATTTGCTGGCCAAACAAGTAGAGTGTTTTGTGAGAAACTCTGTCCTTTTTTTCTCTGAGGTACTTCTCTAGAGATCCCAAGGGGAAGTACTCCATGACAAGAGAAAGGCGATTGGAATTGTCTGCAAAGAAAACAAACATCAACATGTATCAAAACATGGGCCAACCAGCTGATTCTAAACCAGACAAGATTCCAACACATGTTGGAGCCCCATATTTTGTAAAACTATGCAGCATGAACAAATCTGTAATGAAGAAAGGAAATGACAGGGCTTGAAATCAAGTCTGAAAAGTGATATACCTGAACATCAATGATAGGAATATCTGGGAAATATGAAACGTGAAGAACATCTAACATCTTTATTACAGTTCTCATAAATGCTCTTCCCGACAATGACAAGAACAAGAACAATATCTTTAACAAAAATAACAACTTAAACATTATCTTGTTCTAAAAGATATTATATACCCCTCTTTAGTATGCTGAATAAATCTAGTCATCTGATTGGTCGAAATTGGAGTCATGATTTTAGCCATACCCACCTACCGGTCCATAGTTTGTTTTTAAATGCCTGTATGCCCGCCTACCGGTCAATAGTTATTTTAAAGATGCCTGTTGCCCTGGATAAATAAGTTTTGCTGAGATCCCCATTGGTTTATGTGTAAAAAGTTTCTTTGTGCAATGCGGATACAAAATACAGTGCAGTGTATATGGACTGCTTTAATATTCAAAGCATAGCTGTTTCTATACTGCTATATGTATGCTACATGATCTATCAGTATAAGAAATTAAAAAACAGGCATTTTGAAGAGACATCCTTGATGAAAAAAAAAAATTGTGGACAATTTTCAAGATTTAAGTTTGCCATGCTCACATTGCTGTTTGGATATTGAAGGTCCCCCCCCCCCCCTCTAACACGGATTTATTCAACTTGCATTCGGAATGCATTCGGAATGCATTCGGAATGCCCTTGTTAATCTTTCTGGAATGTATCCGGAATGCCCCCATTCAAGCCACATTCTCAAAAAATCTATGCGATCTGCGCCTATCGTCTAGAGAACAAAGGGGCATTCGCCCCTTTGTTCTCTGGACAATAGGCGCAGATCGCATCGACTTTTTGAGAATTGGGCGATTAAAAAGCATGCCCGAGATGCTGGCGATTAAACAGATATGCGTGATTTCAAATGCCTGCCAAAGTGACTATACCTCATAATGTCCGACAGCGCGGCGCACTTTTAGAAGGAGTAAGAACTATTTCTATTTATCTTTTTAAACAGGGTATAACATTCGTTCTCTCAACTTCTGATTTTCTGAAGTTGATAACAGCGGAAACACGTTGTCTCCTAATCGAAGGAAAAAAATATCTTGGTATTATGCTTCTATTTTCCCATAAAAAAGTTGCGGCCGCTTTATTTCTTCCCCGGTAAAATGAAGTTTGACGCTACGAACTAGTTCTAATACAAGTATTTTCCCGCTCGAAAAAGATTACATTTATATAAAATAAATTGTTTGTCTTTTCAAATTTCTGCCGACATAGTGTTGGAATATGAATATGCATAATTTTATATTGACAGCGCGGAGCATTTTTAGAAGGAGTAAGAGCTATTTTTATTTATCTTTTTAAACAAGGTATAACATTCGTTCTCTCAACTTTTGATTTTTGAAGTTGATAACAGCGGGAACACGTTGTCTCCTAATTGAAGAAACAAAATATCTTGGTATTACGTTTCCATTTTTAAATAAAATGTTGCGGTCGCTTTATTTCTTAACTGGTAAAAATGAATTTTTGACGCTACGAACGAGTTCTTATACAAGTATTTTCCTGCTCGAAAAAGATTACATTTATATAAAATAAATTGTTTGTATTTTCAAATTCTTTAAACTCGGTCAAACTATCATCAATCTCTTTCTCTCTCTCTTGTTGTTGTTGTTGTTGCCTTTTTTGCTTTCGTTCAAATCAACTGGGTGTCGAGTAAATTACACTACACGTTCAATAAATGCAAGGGAAATATTTAACGGTGGAGGCAAAGGACGTATTTTACTCAGTGGGAACATCATAATTATTCAGTATTAACATCGACATCCATTACGACTGTTCCCTAGGAACCCCCCCCCCCCACCTCCTTCCCCTGACCACGAAAGATTGGTGGGGATATGAAAGTTGGATTGATGACTATATCTTGGAAATGATGTAATCGACACCCAAGTAAGACCGCGATATTTACGATTGTTACGTCGCCTCCGTTCTGAGAGCGCCGACATGTGGCGGGAATTTCATGATAAATCTGTCATTATTTGAATGTCGTTGTTGCGACTGGTCAATGCCATGGTGAGGAGCAATTATTTCCGATGACAAAAACATTTGTGTATTACAAAATAATCCAACATTTTAGGATTGTTATAGGCATACAGCCAATTTACACCTGCAATCTCTCTCTCTCTCGATAATAATAAATCCATTTCTATCTCAAATCAACACTGTCTCCTTCTTATCTAAATTGAGGCGTCATGTCAATCAACACCAAAGTTTAAAACACGCGATTATTTGACATTGTTACGCGCCTTTGTTCTGAGAGTGCCGACGTACAGTTTTGGCGCGAATGTCATAATAAATCTGTCATTATTTGTATGTCGTTGTTGCGCACATGTCTTGTTGTTGTCCACATGCCATGTGTCGTGAGATAACATCGTTCAATTATTAGAGCATACGGACCATTTAGATTGGAAATAAGAAATAAGAAATCTTTTTACTTCTCATTTATACAGGGGTGATAGTGAGCACTAAAAAAAAAATAGGTTTTTTGTTTTCCCCTCAACCACGCCCCCCTTGAGTAAAAAAAAAAGAAGAGGATTCGCAGAGCAAAATGGCATTTAACAACATTACCCTTTCGAGTAAGAAAATTGGGGAAAAAATAGGACAAAATAGGGAAGATTAGAGAAAATAACGGGGAAATCAGTAAAATCAGGATAAAAGGGGGAAGAAGAAAAAAAAAAAATCTGGTTAAAAAAAAAATAAATCTTTCAACACCCACCATCTTTTGCATCCTCTTTCTTCCTCTCATTTTGATCATTCAGATTCATCCGCATTTTCATGCAAAATAGTTTCTTCACTTTTTCTCAATCTTTATTCTACTCTTTTTACCATCTTTAATGAGGCATCATGTCAATCAACACCAACGTTTCAAAACACCACGTATATTTGACATTGTTACGCGCCTTTGTTCTGTGAGCGCCGACTCAGGACATACTTGTGGAGGGAATGTCATAATAAATCTGTCTTCATTCTTTCTCAATCTTTCTTCTACTCTTTTCACCATCTTTAATAAGCCGAAGAAAAGAAAGAAAATCAATTAAAATATCACCGACGCTTGAGAAATAAAAAGTGAGAGAAAGAGAGAAGCGAAAACACTTGAATATCGCTGATGTTACCGGAGTTTATGACAAAAATTAAGCCGTCGGAAAGAAATAAAGAAATAAAAGTAAGTCCATTTTCACCTGCGCTCGAGAAATGCAAAGAGCAACCGAACTCGGGAGAGACAGAAGCGAAACCAATTAAATATCTGTTGATTTCTATCAATTCTTATGGTGCATTCTATATCGAAACCATTCCGGCACGCAATATCAAGAAGGTAGTCGCTGCCGATCTCGCCTTTGTTTGCGTGGCCTATTCATGGAGCATTCCAGAATGCACCCAGAATGTGCCCATTAAGTCATTAAGTACCGCATTCTAGCGACATTCTGGAATGCGGATTAACAGAACAATAGATTCTGAATGCAGCATTCTACATGCATTCCGAATGCCAGTTGAATAAATCCGTGGCGCCTTAGTTGTCCGTGACTAGGTCACATTCTCCAGACAAAATTGCCAATTTGAGATTTGCATACATTCATAGCACTCTCTTTATTGGTCCGATTTAATTCAAGCTTTTGTCATTCTGTTTCTGTTATTTTTCTGCTTTGATACAAAGGAGGAGGGTTTGATTGGCCTTTAATTGACTTACCTTCACAGTATCCAAGAACCTTGACAATGTTCTTATGATCACAATAAGACATAGCTCTGATCTCTTGCTGGAACTGATCTGATCGACTATCATTCTTAATCACCTTAACAGCTACAATCTCAGCAGGGATACCCTGACGAGGCATCAACACTCCGCGGAACACCATCCCAAAATGACCCTGTACACAGAAATAAGCATATTTTAATTGTCTTTTTATTTTCCCATTTATCAACAAGACTTTAAACCATTGACACCAATATACTCCGAACCAGTTTTCATAACAGTGATGAATAATAATTTCAAAGGGGAACTTCTTTAGTCAAGCCAGTCCTGTGCCCATGTGAATGACAAAATCAACTGTCTACAGCGGTCACTGATACTTTCTCCCTCTGGGAAGAAATATGTGTTGCAAACCTGACTAGGAATATCACCTGTTTCACTGTCACTACCGGGTGGCCTATATTATGTACAGACGTGTTTCACAGTACATAGTATTACACATATTATCACATAACCTCAGTTTCAATAGCTAGATTCCCTCAATTTTTAAATCATTTCATCTTTTTGCAAGGCTATAACCTCTTAGCTATTTAGAGATTTCCTCTTTGGCTGTGAAGGAGCATGATTACAAAACGAAATTGTGAAGGCTGTCCTTCTAAAATAGATTAGTTCCTATTGTTGTTAATTCCAACCATGAAGATCAAGGTTATATCTTGTTTTAGATTTTTTTAATTTCTTCAAAAGGAGACAACAATAGGAATCCAAAATTTATGTATGATTCACAGTTTGTATTGTCACTAACATGTGTATGTGATGTGATTAGAACATAAATTATGTAAATAAATCATGTTACTGTAAATTGTGATTAAAATGTATGTCAAGCTCTCATACATGTACAATGGAAATTACAATGGTGTACAATAATGAAGAAAGCAATGCACTTACTGATCCTAATCTTTCCTCCTTCTTGAGCTGACCATCTGGTATTCTATTAACTCCAATGAACTTGGTCTCTTCATCCTGTCAAATAGCAAAGATCATAATGTTGTCATACTGTGGCATACATTCACTACAATATGAATAAAATTCAAATCTGATGTAGGATTGTAGGACTATTGGTTTACTTTTATTATTTTGTGTTTCAGTCAGCCTGGATATCTGAACGATAAGTATTTCTTAAATGGCAAAAGTCAATTTATATTGGTGATTCACAGTTGCTAAACAAAGAATATTGCACAAAAGACCATTAATATTTTGTTCTCAGATTTTACAAATTACCCAAGGAATCCAGGCAACAAAGTGCAGCACTTTTGAGCTTTACAAAGAGATTTAATGAGCTCATTTTTATATTCCTCATAATGAAATTCTCACATATTTTTTAAACTTGTTTTGCATCAAACCTGAACCCAAGTACATTGTACACAGGCCTACATGAGTAGAACATAATCATGTTTTCTCTGGTGACAAATGCTATGGGCACTACTTTGCTAAAAATATAGGATTAAACCTTTGATGACAATTATTTTAGGTTAGGTTTAGCATTAGAGTTGGAAGTACAGTGTGAGTCCAAAAAAAAAGTTTACACCTAGAAAATTGCTGATTATTTTAAAAATCATCTATGAACAGTAAATTATTATACATCTTATGAAAGAGTGTTTTATCCTAAATCATTTGGTATCATTTTTGTGTGGTATGTATTCACGCTTGGATGAACAGAAGGCATTGTTTGCGAAAGAGCAAAAATCGACTTGCGCCAAAGTTGCTTTGTGATGTTTGAATAAAACAATTGGGATTTGGGTATTAATTCAGTCTTTGCAGATTCAAATAACATCCCTAACGAAATTAATCATGCCACACATATCAAATATCGAATATTAATTATCAACGAACATGTGTGTGCGTGTGTGTGTATGACTTTTCTTTTGTAAAATGCATATGCAGTGCATTTCATTTGCTACATTCAATCAATTCTCTCACTCCGCTAATCCCAACATAAATACATACTGTAGGCATCACTTTGGCGCAAGTCGATTTTTGCACTCTCGCAAACAATGTCTCCTGTTGGGATAAAACACTCTTTCATAAGATGTATGATTTACTGTCCATAGATAGTTTTTGACTCACATGGTATTGTGACCATTGCTTAAATTATATTTACATAGGTACTGACCACACAGCAATGTTTCACAGGGTATGTATCTGGTGGATGACCCTGCTAGGATACATATTTAGTATTTATAATTCACATATTTAATCTAATAAAATGCCTGATAATGCAAGGAACTCACAGGATCAAGGATATCATCTTCCTCTGTGGGGTTGAGCACTGATTCTATCTCCACTAAGATGGAGGCTCCTCCTGTAGCTCCCTCTCCTGATCCTCCAGGACCTGATCCACCTCCTTCACCCAAACCTGAGCCGTTGGGAGGTGAGACAGTGTCTACACAGTAACAAAAGACACATTGCAGATGATTAGTAATAGTAGATCAGATCTCCTTCTTCAAACTCATATTATGAATTATTTTCTTTAATTGACTCATGATTTTAATTAAATTTTCATCAAAATAAACAACAGAAGCCAACAAAGAAATCCACAAAATAATGTTTATCAGGGAATGGGAGCTAAGTGTGAAGGAAATTTAAAAACAACTTTGAATTTGACCTGATATTTATTTTCATAACTGCTGTAATACTGAATTTCAATTGTTGATTGGTCACCAGAGGTGTGGATCATAACACGTTGAGCTTCTTACATTAGTATATGAAATCCCATTCATTCTCCCTATTTAAAATGTGTATAAACAAGTTATTTGGTGCATGTGATGGTGATCTACTCGGAATCTCCTATCCCAATTAATTGCGAATTATCAATATCCATGGGTGTGAAACAAGGGCGCATTTTAAAGTATCAAGTATTTCTTGCTTTATTTACAAGTCAGTGTTCTTTTAAGTTTTATTTCTTCCAATACATTGGCTGTTTATTCTGTTAAGTTTGTTTTCGTTCATTTTTCCCCTATTCAATATCAGAGCCTGCTTGGTAGTGAGCTTATACCAGGGCCAGGGCCAGGGCCTTGCCAATTGGATCAATCGCAAGTGCTCTTATCAAATCGCAAGATAGCAATCTCCTATATATCTCTTATGTACATATATAGTTGCGATTGATATCAATCCCAAATAAAGTGCAATTGATATCAACTCTTTGTAAGACGGGGCCCAGGTGTAAACAGTGCACATAGCAGGGATCGGGGGTGCATGATTACATCGTTCAATTTCAAAACATTGACTAATGCAGAGGATTAACACATGTAAGTCTATGACGAAAATTTGGGACTTTTTATCATCGTGGACTCCGAAGGTTATTTGTCATATTCAACGTTGGCTGTATATGTGGTTTTGATCAGAGCAAGTTTCCTTTAAGCTATTGCCTCTTGGAACCAGGTAGCTCCTGTATTAAAGCCTATGGGAATCCAGTAGTCAATGGGCTAATTGTATGAAACCTTTAATGGGGTAGAAAATAAGACAAGACTAGATGGAATTCGACTGCGCGCAGTCAAAAATGATGCCTCCGTCATAGAGCAATTTTACAAACCGAAACGGAAGAAATTTCTCAAATTCAAGTTCAATTGTAATCCATTAACATGTTCTCAGAATATCGTGATTACAAGCAATTTCTCATACACATATATGACCCTTTGATCTTTGACCTCATGACCCTAAAATCTATTCAGTTCATTGGCTCTGCAAGATGTCCTGAGTTAAATAGTAATCCATCTGTCAGTTCTAATGAGAATGCGTTCACAAGCTATTTTTGCATACATAATGAGCCCATGACCTTTGTTCTTATGAACCAAGAATCTACTCAGTTCATTGGCTCTGCAAGGTACATAAATGATCTAAGTTTGGCAGGAATCCATCAATCTGTTCTAATGATAATACGATCACAAGCTATTTTTGCATACATAATGAGCCGCATGACCTTGACCTTTACCTCATGACCCCAAAATCTAATCAGTTCATCAGCTCTGCAAGTAACATACATGACCTAAGTTTGGCAGGAATCCATCAATCGGTTCTTGAGATAACGCGATCACGAGCTGTTTTTGCATACATAATGTGCACTGTGACCTTTGACCTTGTGACCCCAAAATCTTATCAGTTCATCGGCTCTGCAAGTAACATACATGACCTAAGTTTGGCAGGAATCCATCAATCGGTTCTTGAGATAACGCGATCATGAGCTGTTTTTGCATACATTATGAGCCCTGTGACCTTTGACCTCGTGACCCCAAAATCTAATCAATTCATTGGCTCTGCAAGATACATACATGACCAAAGTTTGGCAGGAATCCATCAATCGGTTCTTCAGATAATGCGATCACAAGCTGTTTTTGCATACATAATGAGCCCTGTGACCTTTGACCTTTGACCTTGTGACCCCAAAATCTACTCAGTTGATCAGCTCTGCAAGATACATACATGACAAAAGTTTGGCAGGAATCCATTCATCGGTTCTTCAGATAACGCGATCACGAGAACGGGACGTACGTACGTAGGGACGGACAACCCGAAAACATAATGCCTCCGGCTACTTTGTAACGGTGGCATAAAAATAGAGGTGTGAATAAGAAGAAGAGTGCTGTTTCTCACCCCTTCTCTCATTATCAACGTTGTCCAGATCAGTATGATCATCTTCATCATCACTCTCTGTGGGAATCATCTCAACTTCTGGTGGATCAACAAACTCAGGTTTCCCGCTGCATGATGCTGCAACAAATGAGATGGTAATCAGTCAAGAATTGCCCAATAAATAATAACGGTTGAGCCGTGTCTTACAGAAGACTGACAACGGACAAAATGTGATCCCAATAAAAAAAGGGGAATATTAGTTATTCCAAGAGTTGTACATTACCCATGATTGGAATAATTATCAGAAACCTCTAATCCATACCATACTTTCTGCATTTTATTACTTTAATACTTTACAGCAGTATATATGCACACATTATATATGCCACTTTATCAAATCCAGTATGAATTTTAGAAAATATATATATATTGTAGAAATGTACATGAAGATAAAGTCTATACATTGCAAAAGCTGCACAAAAGAAAACAAGTAAGAATTTAAGCAGTTCTTGTTTATGAAATAAAGTTCCAAACTCACTGAGAAAGCTATTGACATCCCTGAGTACACCTCTACATGATGGTCTATTCCTTGGATTATGAGACCAACAAGCTTCCATGATCTTCAGTAGTTCTTGAGGGCAGCCTGGAGGTGCATCTAAGCGTACACCATGCCTGTAGTTATCCCTTACCTGAACACAAAATAAACACACTTCATCAGTATTACGCCTTTCTTTGGCCTAAATTCACAAAAGTATATTTCAAACATGATTTACTACATGTAAGGGTAGCAAAGAGGCTAAAATATTGTACTGTTATCAGCCTCTTCTCAGCCTTGGATGCCTATGGTAAATCAGTGATTAGACCTTTGTATATTCTGGAAATATCAAATATTATTAGAGTAGATTTATATTCTAAAGTACCCTCAAATTGAAAGATTAAACAAGAACTCGTTTGAGATTTAATCTCAATTATATAAGTAATAAAAATGAGGGTTTATGTTAAATGAGACCCTGTCAGTGCGCATGCGCTAATCAGCAATATTCGTAGATAGCCGAGGATGTGCCTGCTGAACCAAGCAGAAAGATAACGAGAACTGTAATTAATAACAATACCAAGCACTAGGGAGGGTAAGGGAGGGATGTAAACCCTCATTTTTATTACTTATATAAATAATTGAGATTAAATCTCAAACGAGTTCTCGTTTAATCTTTCAATTATACTACGTAATACCATTTCGGGATTACGTTAAATGAGATTTTGAAGCTCAGTAGGCCATCCGATCCAGTGCTCAACACAATAGTATACATTATTGAGTGAAAAATGAACCCGTGTTGTGCAAGGGTGTCAGTGGTAGCCTTAACAGCTGCTTTGAGCTTTTCTTCATTTTCTACAATGAGGATTGTGTCATCCAAATATCCTACCACAATGTGACCAGCTTGTCTGAGCTTAGAAAAAACTGGCTTTAGTAATTTTGTGAATAGCCTTGGTGCTGTACTGAGACCATTGGGCAGTGCTTTAAATTGCCAACATTGACCATTGACAATAAATTTGAGGTATTTACTATCCTCTTGGTGGATCGGTACTGTATAATATGCATCTCTGAGGTCGACTGAGGCTAGAAAATTGTCAGGGGATACAAGATCCAGCACAGTGTGGATATTATCCATCTTAAAATGCTGATACATCATGCATTTATTCAATTCTGAAAGATTGAGGATTAGACGTACACCTCCATTCTTTTTGGCGTAGTAAAAATATTAGAAATGAATTCACCCTCTTCATGTACACAGGGCTCAATAACATCTTTACGATGGAGGCTAGTAATTTCTTCTTGAATGCGCTTAGCGTCTGGGATCGGATGCCCTGTTTAAAGCGTTTAGCCTTTAATTCATGCAAGTCTTTAAATTCTTTCTACATCAAACTCGATCTTGTATTCCGTGACAGCCCTAATAACAATAGGGTCTGTTGTTAGCTCTTGCCAATTTTCCTAAAATATCTCAGTCGACCGCCCACTTGGGGAACACTACTACTAGTACTAGCATTAGTCATATTATTTTGCTAAAAATGTGATTAGAGTGTTATTTATGACCTTGTCATGACCTGGTCTTGGGAGTTCTACTTCCTCCTCTGCTGGCCCGTGGGACCCCTCAGGGCACCTGGCGCTTGCATTTGTGGCTGGTTCGGAGCCTGAGACTGAGTGTACGGAGGCAGTCTGCCCCTCCTGTTCTGTCTGTACCCTAAAAAATGGCCACCCTGCGATCCTGACATTGGCCTGCTATACCGGTGGGATTGGCTCTGTGAGCCCCAGTGCATTGTAGCCACGTCCCCGGTAGGGATGCGAAGCAAAGCGGTGTTTGAATTTGTCCCTCATCACACCAGCTGCTGCCAGTTGCTGATCTTTGAGATCCTTCACCTGCTTCCCAAGATCATCACCGAACAAACGTCTAGTAGCTGGCAGAGTAGGTTTGCACAGATGCATAAACCTTGCATTCAAGTCAGGTTTATGAGCTCTTTTCGTAGGCAGTTCAGTTCAAAGTTAGCGCTGCAAATCAACGCCAAAGCATCTTGCTGTGTACCAGTTATACCGCCCGTAGAAACGGAGCGGGCAAATGCATTGATGCCATGAGTGAGTGATTTCTGAACTCGCTGTAACTTCAAGTCACAGCTTTTTGTCATCGGAGGTAGATTGTCCCATATCGCAGGATTCACCTTTGGTGCCTCTATAATCTGACAATTGCTCGGAGTTGGGTATTTAGCAGAGACTTCATCAAGAACTTTCCCCTCCAATTGGTGTCATGAGATATGAAATAGATTGGGCTATACCTCCTCAATAGGATCTCCGATATCCGACACCATTGCAAAATTTTGCAGCGATCAAGGGAGGAATAAAGTTATCAGGTTGAGGCATGTCTGTGTCAAAATTCTCTTCCTCCGAGACGGCGCCCGCTTCGGTAGCATCCGCGGGTGGACCGTAAAAAATCCATGAGCCCGGTGGGCGGTATGTCATTCCCATGGTCGAACGGAGGCCGTTGCAGTCTTTCCCGCCGGTAGCCCCGGTGGAGCTGTGAGACAAAGACGGGCGTGAGCTGCCGGTGACAGCCGTAGCATTAGCAGCGGGCAACGCCTCAACCACTCGCATGATTTTTTTTTTTTTTTTTTGAAAAACAGTCTAGGGGCCGTGCTAAGGCCATTAGGTAAGGCCTAAAACTGAAACAGTTGCCCTTTCCACACAAACTTTAAATATTTTTGTGTGGCTTGGAAAAATGGTGACAGAATAATATGCATTTTGGAGGTCGACTGAAGCAAGGTAACAATTTGGAGAAAAAAGAGAAATAGCTAGTAGCTACATAAATATCATCCATCTTGAAATGGTGATACTGAAGGTTTATGTTAAGGTCTGAGAGGTTCAAAATCAGACCAAGCCCACCATTCTTCCTGGGGCGAGTGAAAATGTTTGAAATAAAATCGCCTTCTTCATGAGTGCTCATTTAAATGACATTCTTATCCAAAAAGCTTCGCAATTTCATTGCTAAAAGCAGCTTGTACTGTTTCATTGGACTTGTATTGAAAATAAGGCTAAGATATTTTGGGCGGCATGAACTGTGGGTCTAATTCAAGTCTGTACCCTTGCACCACAGCCAAATTAAAAGGATCTGATGTAAAATTGCACCAATAATCATAGAATTGGTTCAGTCGACCTCCAACAAGGTTAAAACTTGACATTTTAGAGTGAGAATCTGACCTACATGTACCTCTTCAAGGCTGGTGCTGTCTAATTCTTCTTGTAGAATTGTCGTTTTGCTCCCAGCCGAGGCGGGGCACTGCTTTGATGTCTGTCCTTCTGGAGGAGTGTCTGCCCCTTATGGGGCTGGATTGCCTAAAAAGGCTTGTTGGAACTACCAGCCTTGGGGTTTGATCGGCTGGAAAATTGATGTCTGGAGGACAGCGTCCATCCGGCATCATGGTACTTGGACTTGACATTTGGTGTAGGGGTGATTTTGAAGGCTGTGCTGACTAGAGCTGAACATACTTTGCGGCCTCATCACCCCTGCTGTTCCCTTTAGATATTCCTGCAAATTTTTCACTAACTTTGAAAATCGATCACCAAATAACTGTTTCCCAACCATCGATGTGGGTTAGCAGAGGTGCGTGAAGCAAGCGTTCATGTCTTCTGATCACATGCTTGCGAAGGAGTTAAAGTTTAAAAATGGCATTGCTCAACAGAGCCAAAGCATCTTGCTGTGAAATGGAGATAACGTCATCAGACGCATCAAGTGAAGTAGTGAACGCACGAAAGCCACCAACCCTCTAATGAGGGAGAGCTGTACCCTCTGCAAAATGAGGTCTACTTTTGGTACAGGATTTTATTTTCCTCAATCTCTTTTAGGGTTCTCCCCTCCAACTGGTGTGAGATTAAGTACTAATTAAAGTAGGTTGCCCAACTGACCAAATCGTTATTAACTGGTTCCCCAATCTCACTAGATTGAACGAATTTAGCTGCGAGCTTAGGTTCAACTAGCTCTATTTCTACCTCCTTTAATTTCATGTTCAGAAAAATCCTCACAATGATCATAAACCTTCAACTAAGGCTTGACCGGCAAGAGGTTCATCGAAGTCTGAGGTATCCATAAAGTCAATAGCTAGGCTCTGAAAAGAGCGCAAAGTACCCGGCTGCGCCGTGATACATCGTACATGGTCTGAGGGAGACTTTCCATGATTTTGCCCACGAGAGCTTAAGACAGTTAGTTCAAGTTTTTTTATTTTTTATTTTTTTATTGAGTCTGTCCAGTCTATCCCCAAAATCGAGTTAAACTGCCTTTGGAGGCTGTGGTGATTACTTTGTCACCTTAGATTTCCTTTTGTCAGATTTGATTGAGCCCCTTTTGGGTTAGTTCTTGCTAGAAGTAAAACTTTGAATCGAGCCGACAGGCTTCGAAATGTTCGTGGCTCGATCACTTCCAGTGTACCTGTACCAGCAACGGCAGCTACATTACTCCCGTGCCCGCGGCCGGAGCTATGGCGCACGTCTGGCTGTGCCGATGTCTCCCCTGCTGCACTCATGCTCATGCACTCATGCTGTTCTCCACCGGTGAGAATTACTCTTTTATAGTCAAAAAATGACGGAGAAACTCCCAAAGCAAGGAAGTAGGAGTAAAAATAAAAACTCAATCGCAAACTGTGGCGAACTGCGAAAAAGTCGTACATGGTATAAAAACGAAAGAAAACTGCGAGGAATCACAGTTGATGTTGAATGACCGCCAATTGCAAAACGAATTCACTTTCTGATTTCCCGTCTCGCTCATTGCCTTTGGCTCCGAGTCCGACTTTGTTGACTTTTTTCTTTCCCCGGCCCACTCTTGCTGACTTTGCCAGCTGTGACTTTGCCACTGGAGTTGGGTAATTTTTTCTTTCCGCCCTTGGCTTCCGCGCCACCAGACGGTGCCTAGGGTGGATGCGCGGACGGAGGACACGCAGCGGTGCTGCTATCCATTTGAGACAATACAATTCTATCATTAAAATATCACTTCAAAAGGGCGTGATTTATAAAAATAATCGTCTCAAAGTTACCAGTATATGTCAAGGATGAAACTAATAACGTTTTTTACCTTTGAATTTCGGGGATTGCGCGGATAATAATGTCTGATTTCTGGAGCCAGAAAGGTGTCCTTTTGCTCAAAATAACACGCGACTGACGAAGTGCTGATTAGCGCATGCGCACTGACGGGGTCTCATTTAACGTAATCCCGAAATGGTATTACGTAGTATAACTTATAAAAATGCAGCATTAAGAAGAAAAAACAAAACAGAGATGAGCCCAGACTTCAGATAGACAGGTAAACAAACACCTACAATTTGGAGTGATTCTGTATTCACGCACAGAGCCTGACAAACAAATATATACATATAAAAACATCTGTGGATATTTAGGGTCACATATGATTTTGCCTTAACCCTTACTGTACTGGTCAGATAACACCTATATAAGCACATGCATCCAAAAGTGTTCCAAACTCAATAAGAATTTCACAAATGAATGAATGAGAATGAATAAAGTACTCACCACTTCATCACTTAGATTCTCAGCTGGTATTGCTCCATGTGACATGATCTGCCAGAGAGTGATAGCATAACTGAACTTATCACCTGCTAGGGTTGGTTCAGAGTTGGTTGCTAACAGCTCAGGGGCTGTCCATCGCACCCTGTCAACAAAGCAAATAATAACATCATGTTCTAAACACACAAACACTTGAGGTATTTTGCCACAAGACATACTAAAGATACCCATTACTATACACATACCGTAAATCTCCATGTATAAATCGCACCCTTTTTCCGCTGGAAAAATTCAAAAGTTGGGATAGCGTCTTATACACAGGCAAAAGCTTTTTTTTGGAAGTGTTGATTCATGCCACTCCACCTGGCAATGTCAGCCAGCTCAATTATACAAGGGCTTTTGACTCGCCACTCGGAATCTAGAACCACACTATGTCCGGATTTCTGTTTGGACTTTAGTTTTAAAAACAACATTGTTACTATTATTTGTGACAAGTTCACAAGCACAAATCGGTGCCTTCAACTGCGCCTCGCAGTTAAATGAAGGTCCAGCCCCACATGGGTTTTCAAACACAGACCTGGCTTGCTGCCTACAGAGTCGGAAACAACAAAAAAAGAAGTTTAATATTACTGAGCAGTGCCATCCTCTTGGCGTTAATATGATTTATCGTAGCGAGTGCTATGCAGTATGGCGGCCATCCAACACTCACCGAGGAAGACGGTGAAGTATCAAGCTAATTTTTCATGGAAAACTGATGTGTTGTGATGACTTGAAAATCAATATTAAGCAATTTTGTGCGAGTAAAATCACAAAAAAATGGCTAAGAAAAAAAAAATTAGTTGTACATCTTTTTTTCTCGGCCGTCTCTTAAAAATAGGGGTGCATCTTACACACTGAGATTTAGGGAAGTCCATAATTTATCTCTCTTTACCCATTGCCAACGGGAACCAGCCTTCCATAATCAGAAACTTCACTAGTCAACAGGATAATTTGTTGAAAACTTTACAAAGAAATGAGGTTCTGACCAGTTGAAAACAAAAAATAAATTTCAAAACCAGTGCATAGTCAGTAGAGACATGTTCACTGCATGTCATGTATAGTGTGTGTATATACATGTACCATCTTTTCAGGGATTTACGTGGCAAACAATTTCAATTTTATTCCATTCAAAATAATTTTTCTAAAACGTGTAACGTATGAATAAAGGATATTAGTTATGTTTAAATGGATTAACTTCAACATTTCTTAGGTATTTTTCGTACCTTTCTAGTTTAGGTCGGCTGGTCATCTCCAGACTATGATAGTACACACCAAGCATGGGATCAGCTAACTTGATGTGCATGTTAGGAGCAGGGCGTAACACAAGAGTGTTGTGAGCACTCACATTACCATGGACGATTCGCCTCGATTCCTAAATTCATGAAAAAGCGTAAGTTAGTAGCATTTCATTGCTAGGCAATAAAGCTTTACAATGAATGATTAGTTTATGTTTAAAATGTTATCCCCATGAATACAAATAATAGTTTGACCTCTTGGTTTACTTTTTACCTGCTTTGGTCACATATTAGAACAAACAGTGGGTTGCTATGTACACACAAACACACATACATAGGCTCCCAAACAGTGTGACAATCTATGCTTTCTACCCATAGTGAATACAGAGTGAAGATACATGCCCCCCAAAATGTAAATTAAAATATTGACACATCAGCATCAAAGTGATGAAAACATATATCTACCAGCCTCCCCCCTCCCTATTTAATATTGAAGGACTTGTACTGGGTCTGATATACATGTACAGACTACCACTATAAGAAGGTCTGATATTTACAGACAACACTATGAAAAGGTCTGATATGTACAGACTACCACTTTGAAAAGGTCTGATATGTAAAGACTACCATTATGAGAAGGCACATATTCTCACCTAGTTCAACTAAGTATTGGAAGATGTAAAGGAACTCATTAATTCAATCGAGGTCAGATTGTTCAAAACATTCATGTAGTCTCCATATACATTCACAGTTTAATAACTTTAATGTGCTTCCTCTAAATGAGTTCAATTTCACATCATTTACAAGTCTCCAAAGTGTCATTGGTTTTGAGCATGCTAGGCAGCTAAACATGCAAACCCAATTTATCACTTCCATAATACCACAAATCATATACATACCGGTACTTATAATTCTAGCAGAAATTAATCACATCGGGCTTCAATGTGAAAAATTCTTGTTTCACACGTAGTATGTGCTGAATGTATACAGCAGGGTAAAACTTACTTTTCTATTACAAGCAAATCTATTAAGAGCTCTTTATGGATTTTCTTTACCTACAGAATACTGGGTATAATTTTCAGAGGTCGATTATTCATGTTCTACCTATAGCGAAAACAAAATCTTCAGGTGATTGATACGATATACAGCAAAAATCAGACATCCTGACACTTTAAAATGAAAGATCTTTGTACTTTCACAACAGATAATAAAAGGAGCCTTGGGAAATAAGCCCCTAAAAATGTTAAAAGAGCAAAATTCTGCGTTAAGGAGAAAATCCCAATGTACAAAAGAAATGAAGAAACTAATAATTCTTGTCATAATGGTTGTACTTAAAAGTAACTTCAGCTTAGAAGTGAATAATACATGAGTTTGTTACCAAGTATTCGAGGGCATCGATGAGTTGAAAGGCAGCATGAAGCTGACTATTAAGACCAAGTCTCTTTCTCTCATTCTCGAGCAGACTACGAAGATAATGATCCAATGGTCCTTCCGATGCATACTCCATGACTAGCATATAGCCAGCACCGATACCCTCAAATCGGATGATATGCTTATGAACCCATGAAGACATCAGGTCTACAGACTGACTGAATTTCTGTCAAGTAGATAAGAGGATAGGTATACAGTATACATTCAATGGTATACAGTGAATGAGTAGAAATTCATGAATCCATTCAATTATGATATGCATGTGCATCGCAAGAGGATATTCAGTAAATAAATTCAGAAAATAAGGTCAGAAATTGAGCATGAGCTATTCCACTCCAGGGGTAATCAAATGACATGTATATTGCTTTATTTGTGCATGGCAAGGGTTAGCATTATGTCCCCTAATCACTCAAGACTAATGTGATGCACTTACAATCATATATTTAAACACGTGTAATCTTGCACGGACATCGCAGCAGACCCCTTCCGATAATATATTTACCTATAGTAACTCCTTAAATATCACTATTTCTGTGACTTTTCTTGGACAACTATTGTATTCTTCCTCCAAGTTATGTATCTGCTTACAGTAATTTTGAGTAGTTGTCTTTCCATTTGTGCTCTCGTAGTTTTTAATGATGATAACGTATATTTGTTGGGTTCGTTTTGGCACCATTACAGCTAATGAAGTGCACTGCGCATTCTTTCTGTGACTAGTCTGAACTTGCCTTGCAACAGCTTTCAGTATCGAAACTTGTTGTGATTACCAAGTAATTTTCAGCTTTTAAAAGAAGCATGTGGTGTTCAAAATAAGAGAAAAATATTTATTTTGTCTTCTAAAAATTATACCATCTGTATGTTGTAAAGAAGTATTTTTTAGAAAGCCGTTTTTTTATTTGAACATTAATGTTTCTTTCAACCTGATTTATTCATCCTGCCGAGAGACCTGGCCAGTACTGTAGCTAGCTAGCTGTGCTGGCAAAAACAACCCCATACGGCGAAGTGACTTGCAACCCATATTTATAACGGCACTTTCGATTGATTCAGGATGAGCTAGAATATGATTGGTAAAAATTAAATACTTAAGTTTTAAGGTGGATTAATTTTAGTGGTGTGCAAAACTGCAATTCCTTACATATTTCATTATTTTTTTCAGAGCATTTTGAGGACCCAAAATATCCTGTACCTGTGTATAAGGCGCATCCCCAACTTTTGAGGAAAAAAGTGCGCCTTATACACAGAGATGTACGGTATGTGAATTCTAACTATGTCAACTTCATGATCGGTAGTTGCCTCTATTGGTTTTACAATTGAGTAAATTTCTTTCAACTCCTGATGTCTGGTCCTACACATATTCACTGAAGCTCTGGACTACAAGATACAGAAAGGTGAAGCATACTGCACTTATGTGATCATAACAATAACCAGCACGGTTTACTTTGTCATATGTGAACAAGGTTTAAGAGGCACTTACCTGTTGAACACTCTGTGGAGCATCCATCTTGGGGCACTTGATAGCTACCCTCATCTTGCGAGGCCTATTGCCAACCTTCTTACGTAGATCTGCTGCCCACACCTCAGTGAAGTCACCATCATCAAGATGTCTCCAGTTAGTCCTGGACGAGAGATTGTTTTCCTGGATCCAGCGGATTGGACCTGTCTCAGGTTGAGATGGCAGGTCTACATTCAAGGCTGATCGGTCTAAGATACGCAATGCTGGATCTGATGTGGAATGTAAAGCATAGGATGTTGAGGAACAAAACCTTTTTTTTTAACAAGCTGCAAGAGAGTAGTTCACATATCTATGATCAAACAGCTCAATGATTACCTGACTGCTTAAGAAAGGAGGTACATGTACTTTTTTGTACAAACATCCAGTAGATCTATGACTTGATGGTCTATTATAATAATAGTGAGAAGAACTGTTTCTTATAAAGTGCTTTACCAGTTACAGCGTAACTGACCAAAGTGCTTATACAGTATTTTTCACCCCAGTCAATGGATTCTGTTAGAATACTGCACTTTGCAGTGTTCACTCTCCACTCCCTAAGTAGGCATAAGTAGTCAAATTTAACTGAACCCAATCAAACAACAACAACCTCCCTCTCTTCTCTCTATCACTTCAAAACGTTGTCTTCAGGTCAGATCCATGGGTAAACCTTTCATTCGTGTTGCAGTCTCTGGTTGAGAGCTAGAAGGGTGTTAACTCTGTTTATTATGTTGATTTTACAGCTTTCTGGCTCTCAGTTTACGAACACTTCCTCCCATCTCTCCACTGTCTTACCTTTGGGTTCTATTGGAACGCCTTTCCTTAGTTGTCCCTCCAAGCACCAGCTATTTTCTCTGCTACGGTAGAACTCCACAAAAGACCTCAGACAGTTGAACCTACGCTGATTGTCAAGACCTACTTGATCATCATCTGAAGAAGAACAACAAATGCAGCCATATTAACATCCCATCGAAAAGAAAAATGAGGGCAAATAAGACTACCATACTCAAAGAGCATGCAGAAAACTGCTTGTTTGAAAATATTGTTTTATCTAAAATAATTAACTATTATTTCTGAACCAAACTTGGCTTAGAAACTGTCCTGTACAAAAAGAAAGAATGTTATACACTTGACAGCCAAGCTTGTGCCATATCTGCAATGTATGTTTTGATATCTTCATCAATTCATAAGCATACTGCCATACTGTACTATTTTGTATCTTTATAACACACAGTATGCATAGTTGTATGCTCACCTCCACTCATCCCCAATTGTCATTTGTCAGAATTAATGCTCAACATTCTCTCCATGTCAGCCATTCTGCCTGCGTAATGGCCATCAGCTAACTCAAAATTTGGAGTTATGATATATGAGATCTATATCAATTATTTAATAAAAGGGATATCTAAATTGTATGTATTCCAAAATTCCATGCATATTGCCCTCTCACTATTTTTCTTACAGCTTGTAGAATATGTGATATGATGTGATCAAAGTTTCTGGAAAGTGTCAGACAGAATAATTGTAATTAAACTCAATGGAAAGCCTATTGATTTTGGCATTGTGCAGGTTGATGAACCAACATCAGACTCAGTTGACTCAGTTGTTAGTCTGTATGGTCTACATACATGTAGGTGAGTTATATGAATGATGCAGAGAGCATGAGTTTCTAACACATGGTTTCAAAACCATCCAAGGAGAAGGTGTAATTGGAAAAGTCCTGAAGAAATAGCTCGCAATTAAATTGATTATGTTCTAGTACAAAGTAGATTGTGGAACTCTATCCTGTCTGCTAGATCAATGCCAAGCGCAGATTGTGGCAGCGGCCACATACCTGTACAATTACAATATATTCGAAATTGAAAAAGTCAAAGAAACAACAAAAGTTTTAAACAGACATATTAAGAAATAAAAAAAGGTCAAAAAATAAGTTTGCTTTTTCAATGAAGAATAAATTTGAAATACTACAAAATCTTACAAGAAAAATATTTAAAAAAACACTGAAGAAAAATACGACTTGAATAAAGAAATAAATAAAACAAATGCAATAAAACAAAAGACAAATGGATCAATTAACAATTAACAAAAACCAAATTAGTTGGTACAAAAAAAGTCACTCAAAGTAATAAATATTAAAAAGATAGGCTGAATATGTAGAAAATCTGTTCCGTAGAGAGAGGTGAAAACCCCTAACTAAAGAGAAATATTGAAGGTCCTGCACATGGCAAAGCCGCTGCTGCTCAAGAGCCCTCATGGCAAGAATGAAACGCAAAATAAGACGAGATCTCCAACACACACTTTGGATTTGTTACTGACAATGGTACATGAAACACAGTTTTTAGCTAATCTATCAATGATGGCTGAAAGAAGCATTGAAATGCAAAAGACCTGTATTTCTGTTTCATTGACTATGCAAAAGCCTTTGATCGTGTTAAACATGAAGAGCTTTTTAATATTAGATGCAATTAGACATTGATGAACAAGACTTGCAGCTAAACTAGTACTGGGGACAATCTGCAGCTATCAGAATTGATGGAGATATATCAGTCAGTTCTTACCAATAATGAGAGGTGTGAGATAAGGTTGTGTGTTGTCGCCAGATCTTTTTAGAATTTACAGTGAAATGATCATGAAATCGATCAATGATCACAATGGTGTTATGGTTAGATGTCAGAATATAAACAACCTTCGGTATGCAGATGGTACCGTTTAATGCAGCAGCAGAATCCCAAAAAGAGCTGCAGTTAATTTAAAATAGAGTATGAATACAGGCTTGGATTTAAACAACAAGAAAACAGAGTGGATGATAATAATAATTATAAACAAGAAAGATTGAGACACCCTTATAAAATAAAAATTTAAGGTGTAACAATAAAGCAAACCCACACATTTAAAGGACAAGTCCACTTAAAAATAACTTTTGTACTTTTAATAAAAGCAGAAAAATCAGACAAACCAATCAAAAAAGTTTGAGCAAAATCGGATAACTAATAAGAAAGTTATGAATTTTTTAAAAAGTACATTATGGAACAATGAGAATCCCAACACAAATTGCCAAGATGGTTATCAGTTTGTGACGTCATGTCCACACTATTTATCAATTGCTCTATATGGTTTAATCCCATTAATTCCCAAGGTTTACATACTTTTTCAAAAATTCATAACTTTCTTATTAGTTACCCGATTTTGCTCAAACTTTTTTGATTGGTTTTTCTGATTTTTCTGCTTTTTATTGAAAGTAAGTTATTTTTTTATTGGACTTGTCCTTTAAGTGCAGTAGAGTATAAATGGACCTATTGTTATTATAGCTTCAAATGGGAAAAGTATTCATGAGATAAAGAAAAGATTTGGAATGGTAACAGCTCTCTGAAAACTTGAAATATAAAGCCTAGAAAATCAGAGGTTGTCGACCTAAAAGCTAGGTATTGACTTGATGACATCATCGTATGCGGCGTATGCACGCATAGTCATAATGACTTTGCATGAAGCACGGCTCATCGGCTGATAGGGTCCTCACGTTATGTTGTCATTGCTGCTGCAAGTTTGACCCCTGTTAATTTGGAGGGTGTGGAAAATGACTGTTTTTGTGCTATAATGAAAAAGAAAATATTTCATATTCCTATATTTGTGCATTCTACATTCATTCAGCTTTCCATTGATGATATCACGGGACAGCCTTTTACCCTAGCAACCTAAGCTTCATACATGTATGTCAAATAATAGAGATGCAAACAAGAAATGATTGACTGCTTAGACCTGTGTTGCCATAGTAATAAGTGCACACAAGTTTGCATGAATAGGTCATGAGAATGAAACACAAATACTGTCAAACCTGTCTATAGCAACCATCCAAAGGAAACACAAATAGTAATAATCATAGTAGTAATAAATTTATAGACTGCAGAAACTATTCTACATTAAAGGGAAAGTCCACCCCCAAAATAAGTTTGTTTCGATAGAGGCAGAATAATAAGAAAATCAGGTGAGTGAAAGTTTGAGCAAATTCTGAATGAAAATAAGAAAGTTATGAATTATTGAAGTTGTGATCAATCAAATACAAATTGGCAACTCTGTGACTTATTATACGAGCTCTCCTTCATTTGCTTTGTGCATAACATTCCATAAAATCATGTTTTCTTCGTTATTGATGACGGAATATATATTTGTTCCTTGCAGGGGGAGTATAGAAACATATTTGCAATTATTATATTTAGGGTGCATGTATGGTTGAAATTTTTCTTGAGGGAAAATGAAAATTTTAGATTTTTTTAGTACTGAGCAAATGGAAGTTGAGCTCGCATGATACGTCATAGAGTTGCCAATTTGTGTTTGATTGATCACAACTTCAAAAATCCTAACTTCCTTATTTTTAATCGGAATTTGCTCAAACTTTCACTGACTTGTTTCTCTCATTTTTCTACTCCTATTAAAACTAACTTAATTTCAGGGTGGACTTCCCCTTTAAGTATATATTCTACTGCGCTACAAGAGATCCTTATATGCTTAGATTTACAGTAAATTGAAAAGATGTGCTTTCAGTTTTGATTTAAAGATATTCACAGATGGTGATTTCCTAACTTCAAATGGTAAGTTATTCCAGAGTATTGGGGCTGCACAAGCAAATGCTCGATCACCTAGCGTTATTTTTGTTTTGATAGATAGGATCTGCAGCAACAAAGTATCTTGGGAACTGCAAGATGCGATTGTGTAGCCATTGTAGACAGGTTGGCATAATTGGCGGCCATTTCGAATTTGAATAATTGATTGACATCGCTCTGGCCACTCGCATGGCCTCTCGCAGACCCGCCAGTGCACAAAAATTCTTGTGGCTTTAATAAGGGCTCAGTCGAGCGAAAACAAGGCAGAGAATCGATCAATAAATCTAACAACACAAGTTTATTTTTTTGGTGTATAAAAATTAAATTAACAAAGAGTGGTACGGTTTTTAGTCAATATCAAATACAAAATTATTTAACATAATTTTATTTATTTGAAAGCCACTGTGTCGCTGATCACCTAGCTGTAAACAAAATTGCTCAAGCGCTGCTGTTGTTGGTCCTTACACGGCAGTCGTTGTATACAGGTTCTTAACTACATGAAATCTCATGAGGAGGATTTTAAGTAGTCGTTGTTACAGACAGGTGGTCACTAAGAGGCTGTTCACACCGCAATGAGATAGCGCGGTCTATCGTAGCACCCCCCTTTTTTCTAGCGCGCGCTAGACCGCGCTCTCTCTCGTGGACCACCCCCAAGAGGTGCTCCAGTGGCACGCCGTTTTGGCTCGCCGTGGCTCGCTGTTGGGCGGACCGAAACGACGTTGTACCTTCCACATCGCAGAGATAGCACGGTCTAGCGCGCGCTATCTCTGCCGGTGTGAACAGCCTCTAAGACAGGTAGTCGCTAAGACAGGTATGACTGAACAAGTACCGTATTTGCCGGCGATAAGGCCGCAGTGTTTTTGGAAGAAAAAATATCCAAAAGTCGGGGTGCGGCCTTTACGCTACAACAACAAAATTCAGCGGTCAAAACATCACGTCCATTTGCACATAAGGGACTATGAACGGTAGCATGACTAGACAACGGTACAGGACAATTCTAGAAGAACTCCACACAACTTACCGACAATTTTATGTTGCATAGTTGACATGAAGACGAAAAAAAAAAGGCATAACTTATTTTTCTAATAAAATCTGCCAATAGATCTAGATCTAAGTCCGTAACATTGTATCCCCAAAAAGTAAAAAAAGGGACAGGCAGGCCGTTACTTACGGAGCTAGCTGCCGCGCAACGCAACTGGATTCCGGATTACACCGCACATCGAGGTAGGGGTATTGTAGGGTACCAAATCTGCGTGCGATACAGTACTAGCTTAAAAGTTGATGAAGATCTGCTAAATTACGATCATTTTTTAGGTAAACTTCTTGTAAATT